CCCGCGCTGGGTGATCTCACCCGCCGGGCGGTTCCAGCATGCTCGCTGGTCCCCCTTGGGAGAAGTAACCTCACCCTGCCGTCTCCCTCCCTGACCCCTGACCCCTGACCCCTGACCCCAGCCTTAGCCGCCCAGAGCAATGGGGCTGGCTCTGGGGTGAGGCTTCGGGGCTCCCCGCTTTCCCAGACCCCAGCGGAGAGGGACAAGGCGGGCCTGGGGGGGCTTCCTGGTTGGTGTGGGGCCCACGCGGAGCGGGCTGCCGGGTGGGGGGCTAACGGGACGCCTCGTGGCCCTGGCCGGCGTGGTTCAGTGGGTAGAGCGTTGGCCCGTGTACCGAAGGGTTTCAGGTTCGATTCCTGGCCCTAGTCGGGGTGCGAGCAGAAGGCAACCAGTCAACGAGTCTCTTTCACATCAGTGTTTCTCCCTCTCTCCCTCTCTCTCCCTCCCTCTCTCCCCCCTCCTCCCCGCTCCGCTCTCCACCGGGAAGTTTCCTCAGGTGAGGGTGGTCAGCCCCCCAACAAGCTGCCGCCTCTGTCTCAGCGAGAGGCTCAGGCAGGAGCCCACTCACTCCGGGAGGGGTGCGTGCAGAGGGCTCGGGGGCCCCGGTTCAAAGGCCGGGCAGGGCGCTCAGGCGGGAGCTGACAGATTGTGTGTGTGTGTGTGTGTGTGTGTGTGTGTGTGTACACGCGTGCAGAGGGTGCCGGGCTCTCCAGGAGACACGCCCAGCCCAGCCCCGGGGGCGGGGGGGAGGGGGGAGGGGCTGCCCATCTCCCGATGAGGATGAGCCTCACCTGGCGCCCAGGAGCGGGGCCGGGAGTGAGAGCGACGGCCGGTGCGGCAGACGGGGCCGGGCTCGGGTGCTCCCCGGACCACACGGCTCCCCAGCCTCCGAGCCCCCCGGCCCCCCCCCGCGGCCTGGAAGGGGCGGCCACCCCCACGCGGGCAGCATCTCCGGAGCCACCGGGCCTGGGCCTCTCCGCCCGCTCTCGGGCGCGGCCACACCGGGCCACAGCCGGACCACAGCCGGACCACAGCCGGACCCACAGCCGGGCCACAGCCGGGCCACAGCCGGACCCACAGCCGGGCCACAGCCGGGCCACAGCCGGACCACAGCCGGGACCACAGGGCCCCAGCCGCCACGTGCCTGAGGCCACTCCCGGGGAGACCGGGGACTCCGCCAGCCCCCCAGCCCCCCTTCCCGCCCCCCTTCCCGCCCCGAGCCGCTGACCCGTCTCGCGTGGGCACTTCCCCTCAACAGGGCCCGCAGCCGGGGGCTCCTCCCACCAGGTCAGCCTCTGGGGGATCAGCCTCTGGGGGCCGGTCTCTGGGGGGCCGGTCTCTGAGGGGCCGGTCTCTGGGGGGTCGGTCTCTGGGGGGTCGGTCTCTGAGGGGTCGGTCTCTGGGGGGCCGGTCTCTGGGGGGCCGGTCTCTGGGGGGCCGGTCTCTGGGGGGTCGGTCTCTGAGGGGTCGGGGTCGGTCTCTGGGGGGTCGGTCTCTGGGGGGTCGGTCTCTGGGGGGTCGGTCTCTGGGGGGTCGGTCTCTGGGGGGTCGGTCTCTGGGGGTCGGTCTCTGGGGGGCCGGTCTCTGGGGGGGTCGGTCTCTGGGGGGTCGGTCTCTGAGGGGCCGGTCTCTGGGGGGTCGGTCTCTGGGGGGTTGGTCTCTGGGGGATCGGTCTCTGGGGGATCGGTCTCTGGGGGGTCGGTCTCTGGGGGTCGGTCTCTGGGGGGTCGGTCTCTGGGGGGTTGGTCTCTGGGGGATCGGTCTCTGGGGGATCGGTCTCTGAGGGGTCAGTCTCTGAGGGGTCGGTCTCTGAGGGGCCGGTCTCTGGGGGGTCGGTCTCTGGGGGTCGGTCTCTGGGGGGTCAGCCCTCGGCAGGGTCCGCCCTCCCGCCTTCCCGTTGCTCATACTGGTCTGACCCTCAGCTGACAGACGCCTGGGTTAGTTCCACATTTTAAAGAACATAATAAACCTCTTACTTCCTTTTTTAAAAATATGTTTTTATTGATTTCCGAGAGGAAGGGAGAGGGAGAGAAACATCAATGAGAGAGAATCGCTGATCGGCTGCCTCCTGCTCACCCCCCACTGGGGATCAAGTCCTCACCCCGGGCATGTGCCCCTGACCGGGATCGAACCTGGGACCCTTCGGTCCACAGGCCGACGCTCTGTCCGCTGAGCCGCCCGGCCAGGGCTCCTCGTGTTTGTTTGTTATGAATATGGCTGGGAGCGCGTGCTGGCGGACGGGTTTTCTCTCTGGGGTCTGCACCTCGCCGCGGCCTGGCCCGCACCCTGGGGCTCCCTGGCTGGCACCCTGGGGCTGTGCCCGGCTCCCCGGCTGTGCCCGCTGCTCCCCGCAGCGGCTGCCCCTGAACCCCGCCAGCAGCGAGCGGACCAGCACCGACCAGGGCCCCTGGGGGTTGGGAAGTGGTATCTCCTGTGGTTCTGACCTGCGTTTCCCCGGTGACTGATGATGCGAGCGCTCCGCGTGTGCTCATTGGTCGTTTGTTCTCCTCCCTTTGGAGTATATTGGGGTCCAGTGTCCGTTCGCAGGGTGTCTGTGTGTCTGAGGCACAGAGGCGGATCGTGTCGGCGAGTGGCAGTCCCTCCTCAGGTCCACGGTCTGCAGGCGTTTCCTCCTCCTCGGAGGGGCCTTTCGCTGTCCTCAGGGGTCCCGCGGGGCCTAATGGGGTCCCAGAATCGTACATGCTGATGACGCCCCGTTTATCTGTTTCCTCTGTGACTCCTGCCCTGGCGCCACGGCTCGGGAACGTGGCCCAGTCCCAGGCTGTGATCGCTCACACGGAGTTTCCCGCTCAGTGTGCAGAGAGTGTGCGGTGTGAGGCCAGGTCCGCCTCCCTCCGCACACGGAGGCGCCTTGTGTTCATCCTTTTCTGCCACTTCCTGGTGTTTGTTGTTTTTCTCCTGGGCTGGGCGAGCAGCCTCATTTCACCCCGTCCCCACGCCCCCGGGAGCCGGCCGGCCGCCCTGGGCGGGGTTCCCATGGTGAGCCCCACAGAAAGCTAAACACACGACGGACACACACACACGCTGACCCCGGAGGACGGGAGCGCCCGCCCCCGCCCTGGCTGCCCGGCAGGCCTCCGGAGCCTCTTCTTCCGGAGTCAGCGCTGCCGGGTCCCTCTGCTCCGGCCGGGTGGTCCGCCTGGGACCTCCGCTCCCTCCTGGCGGGGCGGCCGTGAGGAAGGGGCCTGGGGGACGAAGCCGCTTGGGGGGTCCGAGGGCGCAGGGGACTGGTGACGGCTGGCACCCCGTCACCTCAGTTAACCCAGAGCAGTCCCCTGGCGGCCGTCCCCTGTGTGTGTGTGGGTGACCATGCCCGGCACCCGGCAGGGAGCGGGTGCCACTCAGAGAAAGAGGGGCAGGAAGGGGGTGGGAGGTGCGGCTGCCAGGAGGGGTGTGGGAGCTCGGAGGAAGGCGTCAAAGGGGCAGTGGGCCCGGCCACATGGCACAGGGGTTGAGCGTCGACCTGTGAACCAGGAGGTGACGGTTCCATCCCCGTCAGGGCACAGGCCCAGGGTGTGGGCTCCATCGCCAGTGGGGGGCGTGCAGGTGCAGGAGGCAGCTGGTCCATGATTCTCTCTTGCCATTGATGCTTCTTTTTTTTTCTTTTTTAATATTTTTATTGATTTTTTACAGAGAGGAAGGGAGAGGGACAGAGAGTTAGAAACATCAAAGAGAGAGACTCATCAATCAGCTGCCTCTTGCACACCCCCCGCTGGGGATGTGCCCGCAACCAAGGTATATGCCCTGGACCGGAATCGAACCTGGGACCTTTCAGTCCGCAGGCCGATGCTCTATCCACTGAGCCACACCGGTTTTGGCACCATTGATGTTTCTATCTCTCGCTCCCTCTCTCTTCCTCTCTGAAATGAATAAAAAATATTTTTTATAAAAAGGGGGCAGTGGGTGGGCCCGGAGCAAACACGGCCTCCTCTCCCAGCTGGCATGTTCGGGGCAGGACTGTCCCAGGAGGAGGCTGGCGGGGGCACCTGGTGAAGCTGACTCCTCCGCTCAGCCGGCCAGCTCCCAGCGCGGGCGGGAGCCCTGCCCCGGGCCTCACGGGGGACGGGACCTGCCCTTTGTCTGCAGGAAGCAGAGGGCAGTGCCTGCCCGGTCTGGCCCCAGCCCCAGGCTGAGTGCCCATACAGCTCACCGAGGACCCAGGAAGGAAGGACGCCCGGCGTGCGGCCAGAGGAGCGGGCGGCTCGGCACTGCCCGCCGGCAGCCGGTCAGGCCCTGGCTGAGCGCCCGCTGGCAGGCGCCGGGAGCAGCAGCCTCTGGCCGGCCACATGGGCCGCGGGGGCAGGAGAGGGCAGGCCTGGGGGTGGAGGGGGCGAGCCCGCAGGTGGTGTCCCCCTGAGAGAGAAGCCCTATCCTCACCCCGTGCGTGTACGTGTATGTGCATGTGTGTGTGCGCGTGTGCGTGTGCGTGTGCCTCCTCTGGAGCTGCGGGCTGCGCGGAGATCAGAGGCTTGAGGGTTTGAGAGGAGGCCGTCCTGGACCTGGCTGGGCCCCGCGTGAGGGACCAGTGTCGGGGTGTGTGTGTGTGTGTGTGTGTGTGTGTGTGTAAGGACCCGAGGGGAAGGCTGTGTGCAGACAGACAGGGCGGAGACGGCAGTGACGCCGCCCCAAACCCCGGAGCACCGGCCCAGACCTGGAAGGGCAGGGAGGACCCCCCTCAGGCCTGGGGGGGCCTGGCCCGGCCCCCACCTCAGCTTCGGGCTCTCAGCCTCCGGGACCGGGGAGAACTGGTCTCTGCTGTTGGAAGCCACCAGATGCAGGGGTCCGAGTCCCACCTGCCACGCAGGGCTCCTCGACACAGGGCGCCCCACAGGCTGTGTCCCCTGAGGCCAGAGGCGGCCTGGGACTCAGCCAGTGCCCACTGGGCTCCCACATCCCCAGGCCTCCCACAGGCGGTGGGGCGGGGGGCGCGTGCTCAGGGCTGACGATGGAGGCTCAGTGACCACAGGAGGAGGCCGAGCTGCTGAACACACGATGCCAAGTTTAATGTTTCTGAGAGCGTCAGGGCAGCGGGAAGCGGCGGGGGGCACCCTGAGGGGGGCACGCCAGAGGCACGGAGTCGGGCGTCTGACCAGCAGAGCTCCTTCGGGGGGACGCGGGGGCCCCGGATGGTGAAGGGGAGACTCGGGGCCGAGGCCGGCAGTAGGAGTGGCCGGCCTGGGCATTCCCGGAGCGGGGATGGCTGCCCGGCCACAGGTGGCCGCAGGCCAGAGCACCCGGGCGCCCACCCCCACCCAGCGGGCGTCTGGCCCCAGTGGGTGGGGCTGCCTGTCCCTGGAACCCCGAGGCAGGCGGGGGCCGAGCCTCCAGCTCCTCCCGCTGCGAGCTGAGACGGGAGGGGTCTCGTAGGAAAATGTCTGACCGTCTAACCGCCACGGCTGCCGCCTCCGAGGCTGCTGCACGGGCGGCGTGTCTGCGGGGAGGGCAGAGGTGAGGACCGAGGACGGGAGTGAGGGGGTCAGGCCAGGCCGTGCCGCTCCGCGCTGGGGGCCCTGAGCTTTGCTGGAGGAGGGACATCCGCAGGTCCGGGCCCTGCGGTGCAGCTGTCAGGGCCGGCGGTCCCTCTGCAGCCCGACCCCCCCCTCCCCTCCGCTGCCGCGGCTCAGAAAGACCCCGAGCCCTCGGCGAGGCCCAGGCTGTCCCGGAGTGGACGCCGCTTGGGCTGGCCGTGGAGGCTGCCTGTGGCCTAAAGCACGGAGCCGGTGTGGCCGCTGCCTCCTCCTGGGAAAGGCGTCTCCTGCAGCCTCAGAGACGGGGGCCCCGGGGGCTGCGGGCTGCGGGAGGGCAGCCGCCACCCTCCTCTCCCTGCGGTTCCCGGGCTCGGCTCCGCTTTCCAAATCTGCATGATCGTTTGGAGCCTCAGGAGGAGGGACGGCCGGGGTCACTTAAGGATTCTCCCACAACGGGGAGCGCTCGCCAGCCTCACCCGCCTGCTCCACCACGATCTCACCTCCAGAGATGATCCTACCTCCGGAGACGGCAAGGCCCGGCCCCCGGCCCCCGGCCCCCGGCCCCCGGCCCCCCGCCCCACGGCTGCTCGTCCCTCCCTCTCCTGTGCGGGGCCTCGTGTCGAACACCAAAGCAGGGGCGTGGGGCCCCCAGCGTGGGGAGAGCTGCCGGCGGCGGGCGCCCGGTGCCGGGCCGGGGGTGGCGTGGGCAGGCGGGGGCGAGGGGCCGGGGGCCGGGCTAGGGCTCGGCGGCCGGCTTGACCAGGTAGCCGCTGAAGGTGATGTAGGTGTCGAACTCGTCGCTGAAGACGGCGTTCTCGCGCTCCCCGCGGAAGAGCCGCACCCACACCTCGTCCTGCTCGCCCAGCGCCAGCATCAGGCTCTGGCTCTGCATGATGCTGCGGTCGCTGACCTGCGCGTACAGGATGACCACGGGCTCCGCGTTGCGCATCACGTGCAGGTAGGTCTCCTTCTGGTTCCACGTGTGCACGTTGAGGCTGAAGAAGTACACGCCGGGCACGTAGCAGTAGAACTTGCCGGTGAACATGTTGAAGTGTCCGTACAGGTTTACGAACTCCGTGTCGAACACCACCGTCTGGTAGTAGGCGTCGCTGTGCAGCGGCTTCCTCCTGCCCACCGAGAAGGCCGCGTAGTGGCTCTTGCACCGGTCGCCGGGGGCGCCCGCCGAGCCCTTCTGGCCCTTGGGGCCGGCGTGGCCGCGCACGCCCGCGGCGCCCGGCCGGCCGAGCTTCCCCTGCAGGCCCCGCAGGCCCCGGTCGCCCTTCTCCCCTGCAGGGAGGAGAGCCGGGCGTCAGGCACAGCCGCCCCCCCCCGGCCGGCCGCCCGGTCCCTGCGGGAGGCCCTGGCCCCAGGACGGAGCTAAAGGGGTGTCCTCCAAGGACGGCCAGGCCGGGCCGGCTCATGGCGCAAATGGACGCAGGTGTTTGGGGCGCAGGGCCTGGCCCCTCGACTTCCCAGCACGACTTTGCAGGGCGAGGGCCCGCAGATGGCCTGATGGGGGGCGGGGAGCACCAAGCCCCAAACAGGGACCCCGAGGCCCAGCGTGTGAATGCGGGTGGGGGACCCGTCCCTCTGGGCAAGGGGCCCGGAGCCCCCAAACCGCGCCTCCTCTCCCCCCGGGACCGCTGCCCGCCTCGGGCCCCCGTCTGGACAGAGCAGCCCCCCCCCGGGCGGCCCCACCTTTCAGGATGGTGATGTTGATCTGCGGCACCGGCACCGAGGGGTACAGGGGGGCGCCGGGGTCGCAGCAGCGGTAACACCGGGAGGCCGGGGGCTCCTCGCCCTGCCGGGGGCCGTACCCGCCATGCCTGTCTTCCGCCCTGAGGAGGCAAGGACAGCACGGTCACCGGGGCACCGCAAGCCAGCGGGGCCGGAACCCCCTCCGCCGGGCCCTGCGCCCCGTCAGCCTCCCTCTGCACAGACCCCTGGGGCCTGCAGTGAGACGGGGAGAGAGCCCCTGCCCTCTGCAAACAGCAGCCAGTAGTGATGGAGCCTGGCCAGTGTGGCTCAGTGGACAGAGCGTCGGCCTGCGGGCAGAAGGGTCCCAGGTTCCATCCCGGTCAAGGGCCTGTGCCTTGGTTGCAGGCTCGGTCCCTGGCCCTGGTCAGGGCGTGTGCGGGAGGCAACCGATGGATGCGTCTCTCTCACACCCATGTTCCTCTCTCTCTGTCTCTCCCCCCTCCCTTCCACTCGCTCTAAGAACCAATGAGAGAATACCCTCGGGCGAGGATGGACAGAAGAAACAGTGATGACAAAGCAGCCACAACCGGAGGCTCTGCAGGAGGGAGGCTGCCGGAGGACGGGCTGGAGACCAGGCCTTGGGGGCCGGTGACGGGCCGTCCCCCTGGTGCCCCTGGGCTTCCAGAAGCTGCTCCAGCTTCTAAGCGGACTCCCTGTGAGCGAGAGGGTCCCACGGAGCCACAGGAGCTGGAGGTGGGGGTGCAGCCTGACATGGGGGACCTGGCTCCTGGCGGCCCCGTGCTGCCACCGTGTGGCCATGGGATGCACTGCACCCTCATCTCCGCACTCAGGCTCTGGGCCGGACAGGACCTCTTGGAGGTGGCACAGTCCCTCTGGACGGCCAGCTCCTTACCTGCCCCCACTCCTGCCTCCGCACCCAGAGCACCCAGGAAGCTGGGCTGCAGGCCCGGCTCAGCCACCCACACTCTGGCCAGGACTCCATCCAGACTCACCGCCCCCGGGGGGGGTGTGGGCTGGGGGCCGGCCTCGGTCGCTTCTCCCCCAGAACCTCTCCTTTCCACGCCCCCATCCTTGCCTCTTCGGTCACCCCAGACGCAACGCTCGCCTCATCCTGGACCAGGGTGGGGACCGCCGGGCCCGGGACCCCTGAGGCCGTGGTGGGCAAACCCCCGAGTCCACAGGGCCAGACAGCAACAGGACGAGCACTGGCACTTCTTTTGAGAAACTATCTGGTAGGTCCATCGTTATCAGCGTAATCAGGGCACCCCTGAGCTGGCCTTCGCTAACAGCTCACGGGGCCAGAGCCGCAGTTTGCCGACCACGGCTCCGAGGCCGAGAAGGACCGGGTCTGGCCCTGCCGAGGCGTGGGGTGCGTTAATGACCCGGGTCACCGAGGTCGGAGGAGTGGCCCCCCCCCAGGTGCCCTCAGAACCGGGCCCTGGCCCTTCTCTCTCCGGCGGACCATCACCTTGTAACTTCTCCCCCAGGATTCTGCCCCCACCCCCCCACCCCCAGCCCCACTCCTACCCCTATCCCCCCTCACCCGCACCCGCACCCGCACCCGCACCCTCACCCGCACCCGCACCCACAACCTCACCCTCACCCGCACCCGCACCCGCACCCGCACCCTCACCCGCACCCGCACCCGCACCCACAACCTCACCCTCACCCGCACCCGCACCCTCACCCGCACCCGCACCCGCACCCTCACCCGCACCCGCACCCGCACCCACAACCTCACCCTCACCCGCACCCGCACCCGCACCCTCACCCGCACCCGCACCCTCACCCGCACCCGCACCCGCACCCACAACCTCACCCTCACCCGCACCCGCACCCGCACCCGCACCCTCACCCGCACCCGCACCCCCACCCTCACCTCCACCCGCACCCGCACCCGCACCCACACCCTCACCCACACCCTCACCCTCACCCGCACCCTCACCCGCACCCGCACCCTCACCCGCACCCGCACCCGCAACCTCACCCGCACCCGCACCCGCACCCGCACCCTCACCCTCACCCTCACCTCCACCCGCACCCGCACCCGCACCCACACCCTCACCCACACCCTCACCCTCACCCTCACCCTCACCCGCACCCTCACCTCCACCCACAACCTCACCCTCACCCGCACCCGCACCCTCACCCTCACCCGCACCCTCACCTCCACCCGCACCCTCACCTCCACCCGCACCTCCACCCGCACCCGCACCCGCACCCGCACCCTCACCCGCACCCTCACCCGCACCCGCACCCGCACCCGCACCCGCACCCTCACCCGCACCCTCACCCTCACCCTCACCTCCACCCGCACCCTCACCCGCACCCTCACCCGCACCCGCACCCTCACCCGCACCCTCACCCGCACCCGCACCCTCACCCGCACCCTCACCCGCACCCGCACCCGCACCCGCACCCGCACCCGCACCCGCACCCGCACCCTCACCCGCACCCTCACCCTCACCCTCACCTCCACCCGCACCCTCACCCGCACCCTCACCCGCACCCTCACCCTCACCCGCACCCTCACCCGCACCGCACCCGCACCCGCACCCGCACCCTCACCCGCACCCTCACCCTCACCCTCACCTCCACCCGCACCCTCACCCGCACCCTCACCCGCACCCTCACCCTCACCCGCACCCTCACCCTCACCCTCACCTCCACCCGCACCCTCACCCGCACCCTCACCCGCACCCGCACCCTCACCCGCACCCGCACCCGCACCCGCACCGCACCCGCACCCTCACCCGCACCCGCACCCGCACCCGCACCGCACCCGCACCCTCACCCGCACCCGCACCCGCACCCTCACCCGCACCCTCACCCGCACCCGCACCCGCACCCGCACCCGCACCCTCACCCGCACCCTCACCCGCACCCGCACCCTCACCCGCACCCGCACCCGCACCCGCACCCTCACCCGCACCCGCACCCGCACCCGCACCGCACCCGCACCCTCACCCGCACCCGCACCCGCACCCTCACCCGCACCCTCACCCGCACCCGCACCCGCACCCGCACCCGCACCCTCACCCGCACCGCACCCGCACCCTCACCCGCACCCTCACCCGCACCCGCACCCTCACCCGCACCCGCACCCGCACCCGCACCCTCACCCGCACCCGCACCCGCACCCGCACCCGCACCCTCACCCGCACCCGCACCCTCACCCGCACCCGCACCCTCACCTCTCTGCAGGGTCCCGGTCCCGCAGCGGCTCCTCGGTGCCCTCTGGCTCCTGCGGCTCCTCCTGGTCAGGGGGCACGCGGCCCAGCACGGGGCCACAGGCGAAGGCCAGCAGCAGGCAGCACGCCACCACGCGTGCGGGTCCGCGGGAGCCCATGGTCCCAGCGCCTGCGGGAGACACGGGGGTGGTCGGAGGTGTGCGGAGACACAGCCCAGAGGAGTGTTCCCGCCCGGACATCGCAGTGTCCCCGCTCCTGCCGGGAGGGCGGCCGCACACACACATGCTGCCTCCCACACACGCTGTCACACACGCTGTCACACGCTGTCACACACTGTCACACACTGTCACACACACGCTGTCACACTTGCTGTCACACACGCGCTGTCACACACGCCGTCACACATGCTGTCTCCTACACACACACACACACACTGTCACACGCTGTCACACACGCTGTCACACGCTGTCACACACTGTCACACACTGTCACACACACGCTGTCACACATGCTGTCACACACACGCTGTCACATACGCTGTCACACACGCTGTCACACACACGCTGTCACACACACGCTGTCACACACGCTGTCACACACGCTGTCACACACGCTGTCACACACGCTGTCACACACACGCTGTCACACACACGCTGTCACATACGCTGTCACACACGCTGTCACACACGCTGTCACACACGCTGTCACACACACGCTGTCACACACACGCTGTCACACACGCTGTCACACACATGCTGTCACACACACGCTGTCACACATGCTGTCTCCTACACACACACACACTGTCACGCTGTCACACATGCTGTCTCCCCCCCACACACACACTGTCACGCTGTCACACATGCTGTCTCACACACACACACACACACTGTCACATGCTATCACACATGCTGTCTCCTACACACACACACGCTATCTCATACACACACTGTCTCACACACACATTCTGTCTCCACACACGTTGTCTCCCACACACACTATCAGACACACTGTCACACTCGCCCTCACACACTAACTCACTGTCACACGTCTCCCACACACATACACAAGCACACTGTCTCACATTCACACAGCCAACACACGCGTGTTCACACAATAACACATGCACAACCCTCAGTTTCCACTCACTTAACGCTCACAGACAAGCACACACATGTTCATACAGGTGCACACACTTGACACACCTCGGTCCACTTCTACATGCATGCTCACGCCCTGCCACATGCACACACATGCTCACACACTCCGCACACTCACAGCACACTCATGTCCTCCCGTGAGCCCTCCCAGAATCCATGTGCACACCGCTCGCCCCAAGCCTCAGCCCAGGGCCCCTGGGGGCACCCAGCTGCCCGAGCCCACAGCCGCCTGGGAAGGGACCCCGCAGCTGCTGGGCCCCAGGGGGGTGTGACCGGCCCGATTAGCACAATGAGCAGAACCCAACGCAGTGAGTAACGGGTCCCACAACCACGTGAGCGGGCAGGTGGCTGCACGGCGCTCTGTGGCCACCAGGGGGCGCCACCAGCGAGCGTCCCAGAGCATCGAACTGGGAGCGGGGCCCAGGCCCGGCCGTAGCGCTGTCTCCTGGAGGCCAACCTGCTCTCGCTCCTGGTGCCGGGGCGGGGGGGCCTTTGGGAAAGCACGGACAGCCCTTCAGGACGAGCTGTCCCTGGGTCCCCGGGAGCCCACGGAGGGCGAGGGTGGTCTCAGGCTCCAACAGGCACAGCCCGGGCTCCGCCAGGGGCTGCGCTGCCCATGCACAGCGCCCAGCTGGGCTCCAGCTTAACCCAAGTTCGCGGGGCGGGCCGCCCTGTGAGGCAGCGGTCGTGGGAACAGGGCCGCCCCCCAGGGGGACCACGGGACGGGGGCGGAAACGGGGGACAAGCTCCCTGCGTCCACGCCTGCCTTCCTCCTCTGATGGTCAGGGCCTCGGAGGCGGTTTCTCGGTCAGTGACGGTCTGTCTGCCCGGGGAGGCGGCTGTCACCTGGGCCAGGGCCCCTCACCCGACAGCGGGGCCACGGGGGCCCCTCACCCGACAACGCAGGGCCAAGGGGGCCCCTCACCTGACAGTGGGGGCCACGGGGGCCCCTCACCCCGACAGCGCGGGGGCCCGAGGGGGTGCCCACGGGGGCCAGGGCGTGACCCCAGGGGGAGGCTTGGGGCCGGCTGGGGGAGGGGCCTGGGCAGGCAGAGCCGGACAGAAAGGGCACATGTGACAGCTCAGACCCAGAAAGGCTGCCCCGGGCCCCCCTTCTCCCTGCACCCACTCCCCGCACGACCCACCTCCCCGCTGGGTGTCAGCGGGCCCCACCGCCAAGTCCCCCACCAGCCCAGCATCGGGCCCAGGGACCCTCCCAGGCCCCGCCCCCCCAATCCCTGCGCCCTCAGTCCACGCCAGAGACTGTGGTTCATAACGTGCACATTAGTCCCTCTGCCCAGCCGGCGATTGGCTCCGGGGGTGGGGGCGCTGACCTATGTGATTCCTGGTCAGGACACGGGCCTGGCCTGCGGGCTCGATCCCAGTAGGGGCAGCCAATCAATGATTTTCATCATTGATGTTTCTCTCTCACCTCCTTTCCTCTCTGAAATCAATAAAAATATATTTTAAAAAGAGAGAGAGAGAGAAAGAAAGACCAGGATGAGCGGTTAGCCAGAGATTCCCTAATTGTTAGGCGCCAGGGAAGGGGTTGGGGGGCGGACTCCACAGCTGCCCTCCTGTCCCATCAGAGACTTACCGGCCCTCAGCCCTGACTGGGTGCCTCCCCCACGCGGCTGTCGGAGCCCTGCCCTCCTCCTGCTCCCGTCTGCTCTGCCCTCTGTCCGTCCTCAGTGCGCGCCCGCTCTGCCGGGCAGGTCCCCGGGGCGGCTGCACGGACTGCTGAACGGGCGCCGTCCGATCGGCGCTCAGCGGCCCTATCGCCGCGTTTCCTGTTTTCCTGTCGCCTCAATAATCACGCTTTTTTCCTTTTTAAATGCCAACTTGCATCCCTTGGAAGGAAAGAGGTTTTCCTTTCTTCAAGCTGGAGTTTTGTTGCGGGGGGGGGGGGGGGGGGGGGGCGCGGAAGGAAATCCAAATCACTCGCTTTGGAACGGGGGCGGGGGGCGGGGGGGGGCCGGGCTGGGCCACGTGGGAGACTGCGCAGCATCTCTGACTCCACCCCTAGGGGCCCTCAGCACCCACCCCAGAGGGGACCCCAAAACACACCTCCCCCGTCACCACGTGTCCTGGGGGCACCCCCCCCTGAGAAATGGGGCCCCACTGTCCCTCCCTTCCTCTCTCTCTCTCTCTCTTTCTCTTTCTTCTTCCCGCCTTCCTTCCTAATATGTTTTTATTGCTTGTCAGGTGGAGAGGAAGGGAGAGAGAAGCATCAGTGCGGGAGACTGGTTGGCTGCCTCCTGCCCGCCCCCTCCTGGGGATCGAGCCCGCAACCCAGACTTGCTGTCTGTGGGACGATGCTGCCGGTCTCTTCTCATGAGGAAGGGGTTTCTGTGCCGGAGGAGGAGGTGGCAGCGGCGGTGGGCTGGGGTGACTGACAGCTGGGGTGACGGCTGGGGTGACGGCTGGGGGGGGTGACGGCCCAGGGGAGAGGCGGGGCCCCGGGCGGACTGAGGGGCAGCAGGGCTCCGCTCTGGAAGCCCCCCTCCTCCAGACACGTCTTTGGAACCGTGTGCCGAGGCCTCTGTTCCCTCAGTCACGGGCGGCCGGCCGGCCGGACCCGGTGGCTGCAGCCCCGCCGAGCCGCCCCCCCCCCCCAGACGTCGCCGAGGGACAGGCCTGGGGGGAGGCGGCTCGCAGAGGCGCAGGCTCAAGGGGCGGGCGGGGCGGCAGTGCTCCCGGGAGACCTGCCCGCGTGGCCTCCGCATCTGGGGTCCCTCCCAGCGTGACTCCAGTCTGGACTCACCTCCCGAACCCGGGGAGGGGGCCCATCTGCCAGGATCCAGGGCACCCAGGGCACCCTCTGCTCCCGCCTGGCCGTCGGACAGACCCCTCCTCCCCGCCCTGTGGCCCCAGCTCCAGGCCGGGGAGGAGCGGCCCCTCCCAGCGGGGGCGGGGGAGGGCCACCGCAGGGCCTGGAGGAGGCAGGAGGCTGCAGACCCCTCCTCCTCTGCACTCTGCCCTCTCAGTCCTGCCTGGGCCCGGGTGCACCCCTTTTCTCCCATCCTCACCCAAGGGTATGTTCCCACCATCCTCAGGGAGAGTGGGAGAGGGAGGAGCCCCCACCAGGGCCCGGCCCCAGGAGGAACCTGGACCGGAATCAAACCGGGACCCTTTGGTCCGCAGGCCGAGGCTCTACCCACTGGGCCACACCGGCCGCGGCTGGGTGCACCCTTTGAGGAGGTGAAGCTCACAGTGACCCAGCGAGCTTTCTTCTGATTAAAACCGGCCGGCACCTTTGGCCCCGCCCACCTCCGTGTGGTCACCCCGAGGCAGACGGTCACCCCCCTCGGGGGCGGGGGGCTCACTCAGCACCACATGTGGGACCACACCCAGCCCAGCGCCTGAACGTGGCACTCCCACCTCCACCGGCTGCTGCGCGGGAGGGCGGACTCCGGATCGGCCGCCCACGACACACGGCCAGCTGCCCACCACGCGCCTGACACCCCCGTAGCGAGGGCCCCGCAGGCCGGCCACGGCCCGCACGGCCGGGGGCGGGCCCGGGAGACGGGGCCGGCCACAGCTCCCGGGGCTGCGGCCTTGGAGAGGAGACAGGATGCGCCGGGCGGACGGCACGCCTGGAGTTGAAATGGCGAGTGGGTGGCACTCGAGGCCGGCGCTGCCCAACGGGGAGCTGTTTCACGGCAGATGATTGACATGGAAACAAAGTTCAAAACTCAGATCCTGGTCACGCTGGCCACGTCCCAAGCTCCTGGGAGTCACACATGGCTGGAGCCACCACATCGAGCGGGCGGCGGGGCAGGGAGCGCCCGTGAGCGTGTCCTGGCGCCGGGCGGCCGGCGGGCGGGAAGGAGGCGCAAAGCAAGAGCAGCTGGGACTCTGGGTCCGCAGACGCCTGCCCGTCCTGCACCCCAACCCCATCTGCCCCAGACTCAGTCCAGTGTCTGCCTGGCCACAGGGCCCAGACGTTCCCCACATCCCACCTGTGTCTCCCGAGGACCCTCGTCCACTGGGACCTCCACCCACCCCGTGGCTTCTGGGTCAGGAGCCCTCAGCCCGGCGTCCCTGCCAGCAGCCTCCTGTGCCGGCTCAGCGCCCACCGCTTTCCCCGCCCCCCTGCCCCGGCCCCGCCCCTTCAGCCCCCACCCCGCCCCGGCCCCCACCCCCGCCCCCGGCTGCCATGGCCTCCGCCGAATTCTCCGTGGACATGGGTGCCGCGGGAGTCTCTGCAGGAGGGCTCCTGGACTCGGGCCCGGGTGCCCGGAGGGAGGAGGCGTCGTGTTGGGGTGTCCCTGGGCCCCGAGGACCATGGGGTTTTCTCCCCAGAAGCCGGCCCGCACACCGGACCCTGGCAGGAGGGGCAGGGAGACGCCAGCTCGTGGATGATGGGCCCCAACTCCAACGCCCATCCCTCAGCTCGTCCTCCGGCCCCGCAGCCCCGGTCCCGGCCTCTCGGTGCCCCCAGGCCTGCAGAGGAGGCGGATGGGGGAGGGGGACGGGGGCTCAGGTCACGGGGGTGAGCGGTGCTTTCCTGAGAGACGGGGTGACCACACACTGACCCCCATTTCCGAGAAACGGCCCCGGGGCCCGGGGGGCGTCTGCTCCTGAGGCTGCCTGTCCCCCGGCCCGGGGCTTTCCGGGACTCGGAGGGACTCGGGGCGGCTCTGCTGGGGACAGAGGGGCGAAGGAAAGCGGGGCCTCGGCCCCCGCACCCTAAAACATCCCCGTCCTCCCGGGGCGACTCCGCCAGGAGCGGCTCACGGGGCAGACAGCCAGCCTGCCGCCCAGGCCCGGCCCGGCCTCCGGGGCAACTGCCAGCGCCCGGCGCTCACAAAGGGCTCCTTGACGGGCGTCCTCGGCCGACCTCCCGGCTGTGGTCCCGGCAGCGCTGGCCGCTGCCTGGAGAGCCCGCGGAGGGGAGCGGGGAGCCGGGGAGCCAGGAGCCGGTGCTGCGCCCTGAGCCGCCGCAGGTGGCTGCCCGCACCTCCCGCAGCCCACCCCCTCCGGAGCCGACCGCGTGTCCGACGGGAGCACGGACGGGCCTGAGCCTGCGCCCACCACCCTCCGCTCACAGCGTTCCCGTCTCGGTGTTTCCAGGGCCTGGGGAGCAGGCAGAGACAGGGCCCTGAGCCATGCCGCCGGCTGCCGGGCAAGACGAGAATCCAGCCCGGCGTCCGGTCAGCCCACGGCCCGGCCCGGCCCGGCCCGGCCCGGCCCGGCCCGGCCTGGCCCCGGCTCCAGCTGACAGCGCCACGTCCTCCGTCCCGCCTCCATCGGCCGCAGGCGCGGAGCAGCTGCCCCTGAGGGACGTGGCTCTCCCGCTGAGCCCTGGCCCTCGCACCTCCCCCAAACACCCGCTGCCTGTCTCCCCACGTGGCCGTGGCCGAGGCCGTGGCCGTGGCGTCGGTCCCGCCGCCTGGGCTGTGCTCTCCAAACGGCAGCCCGAGCCCCCGCTGCTCACTGAGTCAAAACAAACAGACGAGCTCAGCGGACACGCTGACGGACGCTGGAGGGGGACGCGCTCTGCGGAAGCTCTGCCGGCAGCGCTGGGCCGGAGCCAGGCCCGACCACCCTGAACCCCTCTGGGCTCCTTAGACCCGGGCCCCGCGCCCACCGTGCCCGCTGCCTGGGCACTCAGCGGGTGGAGACGGTGCCCGCGACCCGGGCCCAGCCAGAGGCTGGGGAGCCATGCGGCCCCGGCCCCCGTGCCCGCCACTCTGACCCGTCCCCTCGCTCCGAGGTCTCCGTCCTCCCCCTCGGCCTCCTCAGCTCTTCGCCCCCCCCCCACCCTCCCCACCCCCTCCCCTGCTCACCAGGGAGGCGCCCACACTGCAGGCCGAGCCCGGGGGCCACGGGGAGATAAAGGGCCGCCTCACCCCAGCTCCCGCCTCACCCTGCCGGCCCCCCTTCCCAACACTCGTGTCCTCCACTCCTGGAGCCACTTGCAGTCCCCACACCAGTCCCAGCCCCACCCCGGGTCTCTCCCTCCCCTCCCCCTCCCCCAAGGCGCTCTGCAGACTCCGGCCAGATGCCACCTCCTCCGGGCAGGCCTCCGGGCGGGCTGTCTGTGAACACTGCTTCCTCGCCGGCCCCTCGCACCAGGCGCGCCCTGTGGCGGGGGCCTCGTCCCGGGGCGGGCGCTGGCGGCTTTGGACCCGGTGGCCTCCACACCACCTCCCGGCCATTCCCGGCAGAGCCGTCCTCCCAGGGGCCGGGTGGCTGGACAGACAGACGGACAGGGGCGGGGGAGTGACGCAGGGCACAGGACACGGGATCCTGGCGCGGCCGCTGACTGTCCTTCTCCAAACGGGCCTCTCCCGCTCTGAAAAGCGCTGCTTCGGAAGCGGCACCGCCCACGCCCGTGGCCACGGCCACCCACGAACGACGAACCGTGAGCTACGTAAACTGGGGGGCACACACCTCCCGCTGCGCCCCGCTGGTGCAGCATAAAGGGGCGGCAGAGCTGCGAACCAGGACACGCACCTCAATAAGCGGTAACTGACGCCGGAGGGGGTGGGTCCGCCCACGCAGCCCTCAGCGGCCTCTGGTCAGGGACGGCTGGTCAGGGACACAGAGAAGCAGTCACAAGTGGTGATGGTGAAAGCACAGGCTTCAGACACATGTGCGCACACACACATACATGCACACACATACACACACGTGTGCACACACACCCACACACATGCACACACAGGACCCGGCGGCCACCCACCTGGCTGCCGGCGGCCGCCCCTCAGGCGCTCAGCCTGGGTCCCTGGGTCCCGGCACACCAGGCCCAGCTTGTCCCCATTAGTCCCGTTGTTTTCCGCCCCAGAAGGACAAACAGCCCCGCCCTGGGGCTCCAGATCCCGGGAATTCGCCTCCAGCACAGAGCAGCAGGGTGGGGGAGGGGGCCGGGGCCCCAGGCAAATTCGGCGGGAGTCTTCGGTGACTGTGTGCCGGGCAGGGTGGGCCCCGTCAGGGCGAGCACCCTGAGCCACGTAAGCACCGGCCAGGGCCAAGGGGCGGTGCGGACGGCTGCGTTTTCACACACGTGTTGCCCGTGACCCTCACCCGGGCCCACGGTGAGCCCCAAATGTCTGACCCTTCACCCTGAGGGGTTAGGGAACGTGGCAGCAGCCACCAGGGACCTGGCCGGGCCTGGGCCCTGGATGTCCTGGTGCCCCCGCCCCTCTACCCGCCCTGCTCTGGCCGCCACCCGCCGTCTGCTTCTGCCCTGCCCCTGCCCACAGCCTCCTGTGCAGCTTCCTCTTTTCAAGGAAAATTCCTGCAGAAGCCAGAGAGCCAGGAGCAGGGAGCAGGGAGCAGGGAGCCAGGGCCGGTCAGGCACCAGGGCAGCCTGCCCACGGCTGTCCCTGCAGCCTCCTGGACGGGCGGATGCCCAGGCGGCTGTGCCAGGCCCGTGCCAGCTGCGGAGGGCTGGCTCAGAGGCCTCGGGGCAGGCGAGGAGCACCCGGGGGGGGTGGCAGGGAGCCTCCCGTACCCCTGCCCACACTGCCCCCCTCGGGCCCAGCTCTGGGAGGCGAGCGTGGGGCTGCCGGGATGCTGAGGGCCACTCGTGCCCCTTCACGGGCATCTTTCCGTTCGACCCAAAGCGGCCACGAGCCCCTGCTCTCACAGCTGAGCCTGTCCCGGGAGGCGAGGGGGTCAGAGGTCACAGAAGCTCGGGGAGAGGGGACCCCCAATGTGCCCAGCCGCGGTGTCTGTGGTTCCGGTGTGCAGACTGGCCCTGCCAGGCCGGGGACCCCGCACAGACCCAGCAGGCTCCTGAGGGTGCCGAACCCTGGCCTCACGGGACCAGCTCTTGGGGCTGCTCCCTCCTCCGCCCCCACCCCCCGCCCCCCGCCGGGCAGGCTTCCCCGGGCCTGTCCACACCGCCCTGCACGCGGCAGGCTCCTGGCGCTGCCTGAGGCCGGGACGTGCCTGAGATCTTGTCCAGGGAGCTGCCTGGTCTCGCTTGACCTTAAGGGAAGGCAGAGTTCACCGGCCAGTGTGGCTCAGTGGTGGAGCGTCAACCTATGAACCAGGAGGCCACGGTTCCATTCCCGGTCAGGCACGCGCCCAGGCTGTGGGCTCGATCCCCAGTCGGGGATGTGCAGGAGGCAGCTGGTCCGTGATTCTCTCTCATCATCGATGTTTCTCTCTCTCCCTCTCCCTTCCTCTCTGACATCAATAAAAATATTTTTAAAGCGAGAGGGGGTGGGGGGGAGAGTGCGCTGAGGGCAGAGCTCCATGATGAAAACAGGACAACAACAACACCACCCACAGCCCACAGGGTCCGTAGCCCTGGGAGGAATCGCTGCGAAGCCAGCCCCCGGTTAAACATTTCTGGGTCTCGGGCAGGGAGACGGGCTCCCCCCGGCGCAGTGGCAGGCGGCGCTGCCCGGGGCAGTGGGCAGGGCTGGGGACCCCGAACTCCCAGGTTCCAGTGCCAGGCCGGGGCGGCACAGGGTCCCGCTGGCCTCCAGGCCCCAAGGAAAAGGGCAGGAGCCGCGGAGTCCCGGAGGGCGCCAGCAGCCCGGCTCTATCTGCCGGATTCCCTTCATCTCTGCTCCGATGGGTGACGTTCACGGCCGAAATGCTTGGCTGGTGAGTCATGCTAATTACAGCTGGTGGCCGGGGGCGGGCAGAGGCACCGGCAGAACAACAGAAAGCAGCAGATTCCAACAGAACGTGAGGGACTGCCCCACCCGGGGAGGAGCCTGGGACCGCCCCGGCCACGTCGCCCGTCCGCTCCCACCTGTGCGTGCCCCTGGCCGCCTGCTCCCGGTGCCCAGATGGGCAGCAGCCGCCGGTAGGGAGCGCCGCTGCCTCCCGGCAGATGCCCTGGGCCTCTCCGGAGACCGGACCGGACCGGAACAGGACGGAGAGCAGGGAGAGCGGAAGGAGGAGAAAGGGAAGGAGGAGGAGGAGAGAGGGAGAGAGAAGAGAGAGAGGGAGAGAGAGAGAGAGAGGAGAAGAGAGAAGAGAGGAGAGAGAGAGGAGAGAGAGGAGAGAGAGAGGAGAGAGAGGAGGAGAGAGAGAGGAGAGAGAGAGGAGAGAGAAGAGAGAGAGCAGGAGAGAGAGAGGAGAGAGAGAGAGGAGAGAGAGGAGAGAGAGAGGAGAGAGAGGAGAGAGAGGAGAGAGAGGAGGAGAGAGAGGAGGAGAGAGCAGGAGGGAGAGGAGGGGAGAGAGCAGGAGAGAGAGGAGGAGAGAGAGAGGAGAGAGAGGGAGGAGAGAGGAGAGAGAGGAGAGAGAGAGAGGAGAGAGAGGCAGCAGAGGAGCAGGAGGGAGAGGAAGGGGGAGAGAGCAGGAGAGAGCAGGAGGAGAGGAGAGAGAGGAGGAGAGAGAACAGGAGAGAGGAGGAGAGAGAGCAGGAGAGAGGAGAAGAGAGAGCAGGAGAGAGAGCAGGAGAGAGAGGAGGAGAGAGAGCAGGGTCCTGGAAAGCAGCCCGGCCTGCCCTGTGCCCAGGCCTGTCTCTGGGGGCAGCTGGGACGAGGACGTTGGGAGCGGGAAGCTGGGGTTCTGGCCGGAGCTCGGTTGCTCAGCCCCATGCCCTCCTGGGCCCAGAGAGCAGGCGGGAGCGGTCCCACTCCGGCAGCATCTGGCGAGGGGCGAGCCTCTGGAGCTTCGAGGCCGAACGTGCCACGGTGGGATTGCTGGGAATTTTGTTCTGGGCCTGCTTGTGTGAGAAACACACACACACACACACACACACGTACAGGCACACGTACACACATGCACACACGTACACGCACACATATGCACGCATGTACACGCATACGCACACACACACCTCCAGGCCGCCACTATTTTTATTGCCGTGATGGTGGTTGGAGCTCCTCTCTCCCTCTCGGCTCCCAGGTCCAGGGGAGGAGGGAGGAGATGGGAGAGGACGAGTCCCCTCTGACCCCGACTCCCCTCCACCCACATGTCCTCCCTCCCCTCGGTCACAGGGACGGGGCCCCGCGGCCTCTCCCCTTGCGCCCAGCAGCAGGGCCTCGGTTTGGGGCCTGGGGCCTGGCCGGCCGCTCTCTGGCCTGGGAAAAAGCCTCTGAGGACCTCACAGCCCCCAGGGACCCGGGACCCAGCCGGCAGCAGAGGCAATCCAGTTCCTCAGCACACTCTGCCTTTTCTCTTTGTTTTTTTTGTTAATTCTCACCTGAGGATAATCTTTCCATTGCTTTCCAGAGAGAGTAGAAAGGAAGGAGGGAAAGGGGGTGGGGGAGAGAAAGAGAGAGAGAGAGAGAGAGAGAGAGAGAGAGAGAGAGAGAGAGAGAGAGGAGGAACATCAATGCAAGAGAGACAGAGACACACTGGCTGGTTGTCTCCACACGCGCCCAACCAGGGGCCGGGGAGAGAACCTGCAACCAAGGTACCTGCCCTTGACCGGAATCGAACCCGAGACCCATCTGCGCATGGGCGGGCGCTCTGACCATTGGGCCACACCGGCCAGGGCCACTTCTCATTTTCAAAGCTCCACATGGGCCCAGCGGCCTCCATGCTCAGAAACTAAGTGACAAAAAGGACAGAACCAGTCCCCAGCGAGGCGGCTCCCTGCCCCCCAGCAGGTCAGGAGGCTGCGAGTGCCCGGAGGGGGTGGGGGGGAGCTCCCTGGGAGACACGGGCTGCCCTGCAATCGGCGTGGTGGGCCAGGCGGACCCGTGCGGGCCAGGACGGTGGGAAGCGCACCTGCAGCCTGGCCATGCCCGGAAGCACCCAGAGGCCACGCACCCAGCGCCAGGGCAGGCCAGGGCCGCACCCGGAGGGCCCGGAAAAGGCACGTGCATCTCCCATCCCGGCCGCAGCCCCGGCTCAGGCCGGCACTTCCTGTCCGGGTGGCGCCCCGTGGCCCCGGGAGGCGGGACAGACCTGCTGTCAGGGGCCCAGGTGGCATCGGGGTGGGGGCTCCGCACAGGAGCAGAGGGGGACGTGGGACCATTCCTTTCCCTTTCACACCCTCCGAAAATTGCAGAGAAGAGAGACGCGAGAGGAGCACCCCACAAAACACAGGGAGAGACCCCCACTCCTGGCAGCACCCACGGGCCATGAGCCCAGCCCCCTCCTTGCAGGACCCAGGCTCACACCCCCCCCCCCCCCCCAGCTCCCAGTCTTTCGGCCGCTTTGCCACAACTGCCACCGGGCCCCTCCCACCGGCTCCGGGCCGGCCTGGCAGCTCAGGCGGCTGCCCGTCCTCCCGCCCGGCTCCTGCTGAGCCGCTGAGGAGCCGGAGCGGAGCCGGCAGCGCTGGTCCCCCGCCCCGTCCCCACCACCTACCTCCGGCCGGCCCTCCGGCCTCTGCCCAGCGCCGCCTCAGAGCATCTCGGGCCGCGGGCCGGCCGAGCGCAGACGTGTCGGGAGAGCGGGAAGCCGGGGAGAGTCCGGGACGGCGGGGAGGGGAGGCGGCGCAGGCGGCGCGCACCTCGGTCTCCTGGGCTCCGGTCTCGGCCAGAAGCGGAAACGGGTTTCTGGAAAGTGAAGGAAGAGCCGGAGGAGCGGCCGCCGCGTCAGGAGCAGGAGCGGAGCCCCGCCAGATGTGAGCGCCCGCCCGATCCGCCTTCCAAACAGCAGCCGCCGAGCGTTAACTGTGTGTGTGCCTGGCGGGCGGGGAGCCGCCGCCTCCTCCGGGCCCCCGGGGAGCGGCCCTCCGAGTGCCTGCACGTCCACCCGGCCCCGCCTGGGAACCCCGAGGAGCCTGGTGGCGGGGGCGGGATTCTGGGAGCTCGCCCGGAGGGATGGAGTCTCCCCCCCGCCCGGCAGCCCTGAGACGCCCCTGGACCAGGGCCGCCCCCTGGGAACGGGGGCCACGGTGGTTTGGGGAGACCTGCGAACCCCCACAGCGGAGCGCAGAGGTCCTGGGTGCACGTGTCTGTACACACCAGCCTCTTCGGACCGGGCTGGTCCGTTGCCCTGGTCAGAGCCAGGAGGGCGTGAGGGCGCGGGGAGGGCCTGGCACTGCCTTCTCAGCCTCGTTCTTCCTAGGAGAGCCCTGCTCTCCTCCCTCTCACACACCGTCTTCCTTTTTAAACATTTTTTACTGATGTCAGAGAGGAAGGGAGAGGGAGAGGGAGAGAAATATCAATGACGAGAGACAATCATCCATCCATCCATCCTGTACGCCCCCTACTGGGGATGGAGCCTGAAACCCCCGCACGTGCCCTGACAGGGAACCAAACCAGCGACCTTCCGGTTCCTAGGTCCATGCTCAGCCATTGAGCCACACCGGCTGGGCCACCCACGTTCTTTCCCAGCCAGCCCCTGGTCCTGCCTCCCAGCCCGATAACGGCCCCAGCGTTCCCGGCTGCTCCCCCGCCAACCCCCGAGCCAGGCCGGCTTCTTCTGGAATCCTTCCCATCACGGAGAGGCAGGGTCTGCCCGGAGAAGCAGACGCTGCTGCGGTGACCCTTCTATTTTTCCTGCTTCTTTCCCGACCTGCGCCCACGCCCTCTCCGCCCGCCCTGAGGCTGTGCCGACCCCTCTGCCCCCTCCCCGCGCGCGGCCGTGTCCCTGGGACCCGGACAGAGGACATAGGCCCTGGGACGCTGGTTCGGGAGCCACAGGACAAGAGCAGAGGGCCCACGACGCCCCCCCGCGCCCCCCCCCCCCCGTCTTCAGACGTCCTCCCTCCTCTGCTCCACATGTCTGCCTGGAAGACATCAAGGCGTGGGGAGGGGGGGCTGACATCCACCGGGCGGGGAGCGGGGAGGTGGAGGGAGAGGGGGCTTCTGAGGGGGCCAGAGAGAGCCCAGCGGCCACTCCACAGAGACCCGGCCGCCACCGCCCCCCGTGGGAGCCGCGGAGATGCCGGGCCTGGGGCCTGGGGGAGCTCAAGGCGCTCCGGCGTGACTGCCGAACCCCATCGTCCCTGTCGGAGGCCTGTGCCTGAGGCTTGGCCCGGCTCTGCCCCTGGCTGATCAGGGACAGGAAGACCCCGATAAGCCGGCCTTCACCCCGGGCGTGACGGGAGGCCCTTTCCTGTCAACAAGCCCGGGCCCAGCACGCTGACCTCCCCCGGAACTCGGTCCTCGATCCCAGGCGCGGCCCAGGGGTCCGGCGTTGACCTATGAACCAGGAGGTCACGGTTTGATTCCCGGTCGGGGCTCCCGCCCAGGGTGTGGGCTCGATCCCCAGTGTGGGGTGTGCAGGAGGCAGCCGATCCACGACTCTCTCTCATCATGGATGTTTCTATCTCTCTCCCTCCTCCCCCTTCCTCTCTGACATCAATAGCAATAAAACACACATATTTAAAGAACAAAGTGTGAGTAAGGAAGAGGGGAAACTCGGCCAGCCGGGGGCGGTCTCCCGGACAGCTTGGTTCTGGTCCATGGCCGGCCAAAGGTCTCCCCAGAAACCGGGGCGAATGTTCCCCGATCGGCAAATACCTTCCCGCAGGACAGAGAGTCCTGGCCGGCTCCAGAACAGGAGTCAGGACAAAAAAACACAAAAACAAAAACCCGACATTGACCAACCAGAGCCCGAAGCGGCAGCAGTGCCTGGGAGAGATTTCCCAGCTCGGGGCGGGGCTAACCAGCGGCGAGGCCCCGCCTCCCGAAGCTGGGCAGGCCACGCCCACCGGGATTCCTGAGCTCAGGCCTCCTCCACCAGGATGTCTGGGCTCCTCCAGGGGCTGCCTGAGTATCCCCAGGTCAGGGCAGCTCTTGCCCCCCACCCCTCACCCCGAGCCCCAGACTGCCCCCACCCAGACCGAGCAGACATTCCGGGAAGAGGAGCCTGGGGAGCCCACCGGGTCCCCCGTGAGCCAATCCCTCGGCCGCCCTGAGCCACTGCTCCTCACCACGTCTGTCCGGGAACGACGTGACCTTTGGCTCAAGTCCGTCAGACTCCAGCTCCCCGCCACCATGGCCCCTGGGGCCTCCCGCCCCCCAGGCCCTAACGGCCTGCCTCTCCCAGCTATTTCGGGCCGGGCTGCCCAGTGGTCCCAGGAGCGCAGAGTCTGGAATTGCAAACTTCTGCATTCCGTGCCAAAGGGTAGCCACGGGCAGTCAGATGGTGGGACCCGCGGCCAAGGGGCGGGGCGGGACCGCCTCCTCGGAGGTCTGGAGAAGCGGCTGAGATGGAAGCGTGACAGCCGGGCCGGCCCGTCCACACCGGTGGCTCCCGGGTGGCGGTGCCCGAGGTCTAGAAGGTTCGGGGCACGTGGGGATCAGGACCGGCAGCTACCGAGACCGAGCGGGCCGACCAGCTGTCCTCTCTCTCCTCACACCCGTCGAGAGGTCTTTCCAGGGACGCCCCCTCGGCCCGCCGGAGGCCCAGACGGACGGTCTCGCGGGAAGCCGCTGCCCAGGCTCACGGTCACCATTTATGGGCTTTCTGGCCCGAATCGAGCCACCGTGCCTCCTGCCTTCGTTTCCCCGCTCTCCACGCTGGCCTCCCTGCGGGGGAGGGCTTTTCAGGGCTTCGGGTTAGACAGAGGTGGGCAGAGGCCGAGGGGTTAGGCCCCCGGTCGGCAAACTCATGAGTCCACAGAGCCAAATAGCAACCGTACAACGATAGATGTTTCTTTGGAGAGCCACATTTTTTAAACTTAAACTTTTTCTAACGCCACTTCTTCAACATAGGCTCGCCCAGGCCGTGGTATTTTGTGGAAGAGCCACCCTCAAGGAGCCAGAGAGCCACAGTTTGCCGACCACGGTGTTGTGCAATGTTTTCCCTAACAAGTGAAATGGGAGGGCCCCCTAGTGGAGGGCCCAGGAGCCAGCCCTGGGCTGGGACATGAATGAGCTATGAGCTGAGTGGATGAGTGATTACAGCCAAGAATTCTTAGTCTTCTGTGCAGATCCACAACCCGGAGCAGAGAATTCCCGGCAGGAGGCGGGGGCGAGGGCTCCCAGGACGCAGAGGTGGCCTGGAGAGTGGGAATCGGAGGAAAACCCAGTGCTGGTGGCCGCGGAGTCATTGCTGACAGTGAGGGGCACCGGTTTGGCACAGCCTGACCACGCCCACGAAGATGCTACACTCTTTTAAAAAAATATATTTTTTATTGAGTTTTTACAGAGAGGAAGGGAAAGGGCTAGAGAGTTAGAAACATCAATAAGAGAGAAACATTGATCAGCTGCCTCCTGCACACCCCCTACCGGGGATGTGCCCGCAACCAAGGTACATGCCTTTGACGGAATTAAACCTGAGACCCTTGAGTCCGCAGGCCGGCGCTCTATCCACTGAGCCAAACTGATGAGGGCTAGTTTTCATTCTTTTAAGCTCGGGAGGCATATAAAGATACCAGAAGCCCACCTGGTCCACGGATCCGAGCACCCGTTCGGTCCCTCGGCCTGGCCTGCGCCCGCTTGCAATCCGGGACCCCTCGGGGGATGTCGGAGAGCCTCAGGCCTAGGGCCTTTAGCATGCATATAAGATCCTTGGTTAATCTCTTCCCACCCTCCCCTCTCCCCTCTTCCCTCTGAGATTCATCAGCTGTTCCATGTTTCCATGCCTGTGGCTTCTGCTCCTGTATTGAGTGTCTGCCCCCTGGTGGTCAGTGTGCATCATAGCTACCAGCCAGTTGGCCAGTCGCTTAGGCTTTTGTATATACTATATGCTAGAGGCCCAGTGCTCAAATTTTTGCACAGGTGGGGTCCAGCCAGCCTGGCCCCAATCAGGTGCATCTGGGCTGGGCCTGTTGGGAGGTTGGCCAGCGGGCCCCGCCCCCAATTGGGGTGGGGTGGGCCAATTGGGGGTGAGGCCAGCCATGGGGCGGGGCTGTGGGCTGGCCAGTCCCACCCCCAATTAGTGTGTGGGAGGCAATCAGGGGCAGAGCTGGCTGGGAGGAGGGGCCGCAGGCTGATAGGGTGGTGGGGGCTGACCCAGTGAGGCACCATGGGAAGGGGCCATGGGTGGTTGGTTGGCCAGCCCTGTCCCTGATTGAGTTGAGGGGCCCATCAGGGGTGGAGCTGGCTGGGGGAGGGGCCGCAGACCAATAGGGTGTTGGAGGCCCATTGGGGGTGGGGCTAGCCAGGGGGAGAGATGGGGGTTGGGGGTGGCCAGCTGGCCTCACCCCCAGATTTGGCTGGTTCGCTGGCCCTTGTGGACATCACAGCGACTGGCTGTTCTGGTCGTTACTTTTTATATATTATGTAGATAAAAGTTTGAATAATTTAAAGTAATTGTAGTAATACACGATATATGGTTGGGACATGGTCTAGAATGATGGGAAGCACAAGTGAATTAAAACAGACTTGGCCCCTTGCCTCTTCCCCCCTCCCCCCAAAATGCAGAACCGTGTGTTTAGCACGTTTCCATTTGGTTTTTTAAAAGGTAATATATGTGTTTATGACTTGTTTGTGCGCCACAAACTCTCTGCAAGAATAACCGCAAGAAACTAATAATAGCGCTTGCCTCTGGGGAGGGAATGTAGGGGGAGGGGGAGGGGAGGTTATTTTTCACTGTGCACCGTTTACATAATTTGAAATTTCCTTTGTGCCTGTAACTTTAAGGAAAGGCTCCTGAGAGGCCCGGGGTTTGCAGGCACACACACATACACACACACACACACACACACACACACGCTGAAGGTGCAGGCCCTGCAGCAGCTCCACCCCTTGCTCCTGCCTGGCTCCACTCCCACCAGGCTTTTTTAGGATTGCTGAAATGAGCATCCTTGCAGGACTTGGGAGTGAGAGGCAGGGATGTCTAAATGAATTCCACCGAGATAACTAGGGGGCTGGAGAAGAGGGATGAACCCGAGACCCTTACTTAAAAAGGGGTTTGTCAGAGGAACTCCCGCCCAGGCCGCTGGAGCAATCAGACCCTTAGTCTTTGCTTTGGAAACTGATCAACATTCAGATGCGAGCGCCCGAAGGGCCGGGGGAGGGGGTTTCTGAGAAGGGGCTCGCAGAAAGAGGCCCAGGCAAGGGGTCCTAGAGTCTCAGCTCGATGAATGACAGACTCCTCGCTGTAGCCTTCCCCGCCGCCCCCTCCCGTTTCTGCTCCGTGAGGTTCTTAAGTGACGCGGGGGAAGGGGCCAGGGTAGGCGGCACAAAGTCCCTCCCGCCCTTCCCCCGCCCGCGCCACCTCCTCCGGGACCCGCTAGCTGAGCCACAAAAACTACAACTCCCAGCAGCCCCTGCCGCGGCCGGTGCGCAGCCGCAGAGCAGAGGCTGCCGGGAGCGTGTTGCTCGGAGGCGGGGCAGCGCGCCGGGCGGAAGTCGGCCCTCCGCTGGGTCCCGGTCCGGCCTGCAGAGAGGTCCCCGCGTCCGCGGGCCCGGAGCCGGTCCGCACCGGGTGAGTGACGGCGGCCCCGCGGCCGCCCGCGCTCCGCTTGCTACGGGCCTGCTGCTGTCTCCGCACGGTCCCTCCCTCCCCCGCCGTCCGCTCTCCCGCAGACTCTGGCTTGAAGGTACTTCCCCCTCTGACTTGGGGCTCCTCCCCCCTCTGACTTGGGGGCTCCTCCCCCCTCTGACTTGGGGGCTCCTCCCCCCTCTGACTAGGGGACACCGCCCCCCTCTGACTTGGGGCTCCTCCCCCCTCTGACTTGGGGGCTCCTCCCCCCTCTGACTTGGGGCTCCTCCCCCCTCTGACTAGGGGACCCCGCCCCCTCTGACTAGGGGACCCCGCCCCCCTCTGACTTGGGGCTCCTCCCCCCTCTGACTTGGGGGCTCCTCCCCCCTCTGACTAGGGGACACCGCCCCCTTCTGACTAGGGGCTCCTCCCCCCTCTGACTTGTGGGCTCCTCCCCCCTCTGACTTGGGGGCTCCTCTGACTATGGTACACCGCCCCCCTCTGACTTGGGGGCTCCTCCCCCCTCTGAATTGGGGACACCGCCCCACTCTGACTTGGGGCTCCGCCCCCTCTGACTAGGGGACCCCGCCCCCCTCTGACTTGGGACACCGCCCCCCTCTGACTTGGGGCTCCGCCCCCCTCTGACTAGGGGACCCCGCCCCCCTCTGACTTGGGGCTCCGCCCCCTTCTGACTACGGGACCCCGCCCCCTTTGGCCCTGATGGATGCATTCCCTTCCTCCCTGAGGACAGCCCTTTTCTGCCCCCTCTGACCTCAGTACCCCAACTCTGACCTGTGCCGGCCTCTCCTGAGGGATGAGGGCTCCCCCACCTGCCTGACTCGGTCACACCTGCAGCAGGCAAGCCTTCTCACCCCCCATGCCCAGGCCTTCCTCTCCTTTGCTTCAGACTATGGCCGTCCTCCCCCGCCCCTCCTGCCCCCCGGGTCTGGATCCCTTCAACCTGGGACCAGCAGCTCCCTCTCTCAAGTGTGGCTCGGTGCCTTTCCGTGTCCTCTGTGTCCCAGGCTTGTGTGGCCCTGGGATCCCCTTCTTCCCAGCTCCCTGTGTCCCCCAGGAGGGCGGTCTCTCAGCACCCAGCCCCATTGCTCATGCCTGTCTCGGGGGATGTGCTTGGCAGCTTTCCTGCCACATTTCCAACGAAGCATGCGTGCGGGAACACGCGTGTGCTGGTACCGAATCTCGCTGGCTCTTCGGCGGAAGGGCCGCATTGGCAGCGGCGTGGCCGCTCGGAAGGAAGCAGGGGCACATCCGTCGGGAGCCGCGGGCTCTGCAGCCCTCGGTCCTCGCCCGTGGAGGAGCTCCATTGACAGATCTTCCCGGCTGGGCTGTGGGGCCCCCAACCCCCGACCCCCAACCCCTCCCCACGACCTCCCCTCCAGAAGTCCAGCCCAAGCCTGCAGACAAGGTGGCCTCCCGCTGCCCCTCCTGCGGCCTCAATGAGCCTCTGTTCAGGCGGACCGCCTGCCCGCCAGAGGGCTGGGAGGCGGTTGGCGGGCCGCCCTCAGCTCCTGGCAGCCCTGAGCAGAGCGCCTGTCGAGGCTGCCGCCGTGGTCGGACGGAGGGTTCCCGGTCTCCCTGCTCTTTCTGGTCCAGGTGAAGCTGACCTCACGGGGGGAGGGAACCCCACGCCCCAGGGAGACAGGGGCCACTGGGGCCAGATCCCGCTCCGGCGAGGCGATTGGATGCCTCCCCTGAGCTCCAGGTGTCCGTTCTCCCCGGAGCTGTGCCCCAGACCCAGCCACGCCCTGGCTTTATGGCCCACAGCCACGCAGGAGCGTGGCCATTCCTGGAGCACGCTTAGTGCGTGCCAACATTAGGGCGTTTAAAACTCTGCTGGTGACTATTTAGGACTTTGTGTTGACTTAGGCCAGGGCTGGGGAACGGCACTTGGTCTGCCCTCGCCTTAGGGCGAGGCAGTGAAATCTCTGCCAGGTACAGCAGGCTGATGTGCACGTGGGTAACTGTGTGGCCGGTCAGCGGTGTCATCAGTATCCACAGGGCCCTGAGTTAGACCAGGACAGTTCTTGGGAAGAAGTCTTGATGCCAGAGGAACCCGGGAACATGTGCGTTTCTCTCTGGGGTGCCTGCCTTGGACTCCCACCCCTTTATCTGTACCCAGAGGCCCGAGGCACAAAGATCCGTGCAGGAACGGGCCTCCCCGGCTGCCGGCACCGCCTCTGCTCCGGCTGGAGCTGCCCTCCGCCTTCCCACGCTGCCCAGAGGCCCGGAGGGGCTGGGGCAGTGTGGCCCACCTGTGTCATCGCCATGGCGACCATGGAAGCATCCTGCCCCCCAGCTGCTCTGCACCTGTGTGTGCAAATTAAACCTCCATCTTTGTAGGGTTCATTTGCACACTCCTGATTGTCTGGCGGGTGTTGCGAAGGTACGGTCAGTCTCCGTCTTTCTCTCTTATCCGTGCAGAGTAGAGGCGCGGGTAAGGGCCGCCATCGGCGGTGGATGGGACGCACCCTTCGGTTCCCATAGCTGACCTTAAACTGGGGTCGCGCTGGATGCCCGGGAGCGCCCAGGGGACCACGGGGTCCTTCCCAGGAAGCGGGAGGCACGGAGATGCTGGCTCTAAGGTGGGGGGGGGGCCGCGCGCACAAGCCTAGAGGTTCGGGCGGCCACCGGAGGCGGGAAATGAACACGCAGGAGGCGGATTCTCTGTCCAGTCCCGGGAGGGACCGGCCCTCCGGCTGCGGCCTGCGGGGCTGCAGGGTAGCTGTGTCCCAGCTGTCGAGTCCGAATGACGTGACAGCGGGAATAGGAGCCCCCTGCACTCCCCTAGGGTGGGGGCTGAGGACAGAGGGGCGGCCCAGGGAGCGGTGCATGCTGGGGTGCCGGGGAGGGGGTGCGGCGGGTGAGCATGCTTCCAGGTGGTCGGCTGGCGGCCTTTGGCCTCGGAAGGGTCTTCGAGGGCAGGGGGTTCAGCTCTTCTTTCCCATCGGGGCGGGCACTCGGCTCTGTGGGCGCAGCAGAGGCCATGGCTGGCGGGAAGGAAGGCGGCGGCCGCAGGGGCGCTGGGGGGAGAGTGCTGCCCAGTCCGGGGCAGAGGCCGGGAGCTGGGAGCCGCCCCTTATCTCAGATCCGGGATGCCTCCCTGCCCTGAGGGCAGAGCCGCTGGGCTGTTTGCTCTGCCACCTGTCGGACCGCTCCTGGCACCACCCCTGGCAGAGTGGGAGCCTCCTCTGGGCTGCACCTCCTCTGGGCTGCGGCTCCCGGAGGGGCCCTTTCGCCGAGCCAGGCCTGAGGCTGGGGCCGCTGAGCATGGCCTGGGAAGGTAGGGCCTGAGCCCGCTCACTCCGAGCCGAGGGTCTCCCTGGTGCCGCCCCTGGGCCGGGCCGGTGCCGACCTGCTCCACCAGGAAGTGCTGGTTGTGGAGAGCCGAACAGGCGTGTCCGGGAGCCGTTCTCCCTGGAAAGCGGGAGCCTTGCCCTGTGGGGGAGCGGAAGGGTGCGTCCCCGGTCCTCACCGGGCGCTGTCTGCGGCCACCTGAGCGGAGCCGCCGGTGGGAGCGGTTACGGAGCGGGTGCCCTGGTTTCCGGCTGCCGCTGCCGTGCGGTCGGCCTGGTGCGGCAGGAAGGCTCGGGCCTCGGCCTCGGCCGTGTGGGCGAGGCCCCCCGGGCGGCGGCTGCTGCTGGGTTTTTGTAAAGATCCGGGCCTCCGGCGGCAGACGGTCCGGCAGCTTACCTTCCTGTGCCTGGTGCCCGCGGGCGGCGGGCATGCAGCCTGGAAGGTGTGGGGAGCCCTCGCTGTGGGGGTTACGAGGTCGATTCAGGAGGGACGGACGGGGCTGCTCCTCCAGGACGGGCTGGCAGGTGGGCCACAGTCACAGGAGTTACTGACCCGCCAGGAGTGAGCGGACAGAGGTCAGAGAGCGGTCAGGGCACGGGGACGGGGGCTGGGGAGGGCGAGGTGGAGAGGGAGTCGCCAGGCGGTGCGGACGACCGTGGTGGCCGCCGTGACCGGCAGCCTGCCCACTGGTCCCTGTGCCGGGATGGGGTGGGGACGGGGCTTGGAGGAAGTGGAGTGTGCTTCCTCCTCCATGGGCCGTGAGGCCGCTGGGCTCCAGGCAGTGAGGCCCTGCGGGCTCTGGCCCCTCCCATCTTGCGCATGAACAGGAAGGTGTCAGGGGCAGATGGTGCCGAGAAACAACCATTTCTGCTTGGCCTGCAGCTGTTCTGCCACAGATCTAGCCCAGGAGGGGCCACAGCTCACCTGCTTGGCAGGCAGGCGTCGGCCGGGGCCAGTGGACAGGGGTGTGTGCACCGTGGTGTGTGCGGGCCGGGGAGGGGTGGAGGTCCTGTCAGGAGCAGGGCCTCCAGGGAGGGCTTCCCGGACGAGGCGGCATTTGACAGGACGCAGCCCTGTGCCCTCAGTACCTGCCCTGCCAGCCCTCTGGCAGCTGGAGGGGGGGGGTTGTGCTGTGGGAGGCGGCCCCTCTTCCTGAAGAGGGGCACGCAGGTGTCGCTGGAGCCCGGTGTCAGGAAGCTGTGCTGGGCCTGCGTTTGCCGCTCATGACCTTCCCCCCTCCCTCCCGTGTGCAGGTCCCGCCAGCCCTCCGCACAGCCGCCCGCCAGCCCCGCTGCCCCCGGCATGGAGTGAGTCTATGCCCCCCGCCTGGATAAGTGCGGGGCGCCTTCCCGCGCTGGCGTCCATGAGCAAGCCCGCCGACCCCCGCTTCCGCGTCCGCTGGAGGGTGCTCCTGCCGGCGGCCGTGGGCCTCGCCGTGCTCTGGCTGCTCTGCGCCCACCGCCCGGCCCCGGGCAGGCCCCCCGCGCCCAGCGCCCACAACTGGCGGCTCGGCCAGGCGGCCGCCGAGCGGTACAATGACACCTACCCCCTGTCGGCGCCCCAGCGGACGCCGGGCGGGACCCGCTACCGCATCGCGGTCATCGCCGACCTGGACACGGACTCCAAGGCCCGGGAGGAGAACACGTGGTTCAGCTACCTGCAGAAGGGCCACCTGACCCTGTCCCCCAGCGGCGACCGCGTGGCCGTGGAGTGGGACCCGGGCCCCCGCGTCCTGGAGTCCCACCTGGCGGAGAAGGGGCGGGGCATGGAGCTGTCCGACCTGGCGGCCTTCAACGGGAAGCTCTACTCCGTGGACGACCGCACTGGGGTGGTCTACCGCATCGAGGGCGCCACGGCCGTGCCCTGGGTCATCCTGTCCGACGGCGACGGCAGCGTGGGGAAGGGTGAGCACCCAGGGGAGCACACGGGGGCATGGGGGGCACACGCGGGGCGTGGGGGGGCACACGAGGGGTGTGGAGGGCACACGGGAGCACACGGGGGAGCACACGGGGGGCAGGGGAGCACATGGCGGGGAGCACACGGGGGCGTGGGGGGCACACGGGGGCGTGGGGGGCACACGCGGGGCATTGGGGGGCACATGGCGGGGAGCACACGGGAGCATGGGGGGCACACGGTTGGGGGAGCACACGGGGGGGCAGGGGAGCACGTGCGGGGGGGAGGACAGGGAGGGACTGTAGGGGAGAGCACGTCCCGCTGTGGAGTCTGCTGAGGAGTGTGCCGGCTGCTGACCCTCCAGGATGGGGCTTGAGCCAGGCTGCCCTGTCCACTCGAGTTCAACCCGGTGACCTCTGACGCCCAGGGTGGCCGGACCCCCGGGGCTCAGTCCCTCACGTCCGGTCCGCAGGCTTCAAGGCGGAGTGGCTGGCGGTGAAGGACCAGCACCTGTACGTGGGCGGCCTGGGCAAGGAGTGGACCACCACCACGGGCGAGGTGGTCAACGAGAACCCCGAGTGGGTGAAGGTGGTGAGCTTCCGGGGCAGCGTGCACCACGAGAACTGGGTGGCCCACTACCACGCCCTGCGGGCGGCCGCCGGCATCCAGCCGCCAGGTAGCGCCCCCGAGGCAGGGCCCCCAGGCTGGGCCGGGGGCTGACCCGGGCGGAGGTGGGGGCAGCCCCCAGAGGCCGCTGTCGTAGTGGGGTGTCGTGGTGCTCGGAGAGGGCTGGCCGGCTCCGGACTTGGGGGGACGCGGCCGAGGACCCCAGCGAGGCCCCGTGCCCCGCAGGGCCCCTGCTGGTCCCCGCTCCTGCGCCTGCGCTCTGGCCAGCGCGGGGAGCCGGAGGACAGACGGCACCGCGCGGCCGGGCCTCCCGGGGGAGCTGGGCCAGGAAGACGGGCCCGGATGGGAGGGCCTCTGTGGGCTGCCATGTCCCTCCGTCCTCCGGGACACACGGGGACCCAAAGGAGGGCAGGGCTGGGTGGGATCCCCTCCCCCCGGGATCTGCAGCAGCCAGTGCATGCCGGCCCGGCCCTGCGCCCGCAGGCTACCTGATCCACGAGGCGGCCTGCTGGAGCGAGGCACTGCAGCGCTGGTTCTTCCTGCCGCGCCGCGCCAGCCACCAGCGCTACCACGAGCGGGACGACGAGCGCAAGGGCACCAACCTGCTGCTGAGCGCCGGCCCCGACTTCGCCGCCGTGGCCGCGCGCCGCGTGGGCCCCGCCGTGCCCACCCACGGCTTCTCCTCCTTCAAGTTCGTGCCCGGCACCGGCGACCAGGTCATCGTGGCCCTCAAGTCCGAGGAGGACGGCGGCCGCGTGGCCACCTACATCATGGCCTTCACGCTGGACGGGCGCTTCCTGCTGCCCGAGACCAAGGTCGGGGACGTCAAGTACGAGGGGATCGAGTTCATCTGATGGGAGACGCGGCGTCGCGGGGCCGCGGGGGCGGTGCGCTTCGAAAAGCCCGGCTGCCCTCTGCGGGTGTCTGGTTTGCTCTTTTGCTTCCGGGGCTCAGCGGTGGGTCTGGGGTTGGAGGCTCCAGAGTAGGGAGTTCGGGCCCCGGGAGCAGCGGAGGGGCCACCCCAGGGCAGGCTCCGGGCGGCCCGGCCCGGCCCTGCCTTCCCTCTGGCCTCCGTTTCTCTTCTCTCTTCGCTAAATGTGTCTTGGCTCCTGCCGTCGGCCAGCGCCGAGCCCATCTGGCACACGGCAGAGACGGGGGATCTGGAGTGCCCCTGCCCAGCGGGACCTCAAGCCCCGCTCCACCCCGAACCCCTCCTGCCCGGAGAGGACCTGTTGGCACTGCGGGCAGACGGACAGATGGGCAGATGTGGCAGGGCTGTGAGCAGGTCCCAGCCAGGTCTCTGTCTCCTCGGCCGGTTCCATCTCCTCCTCCAGGGAAACTCTGTGGCTCCGAAGCTCTTTGAAGCTTTAATTTTTAACTTACTCGAATTAAAGCAGTTTCCTTCCTTATAAAAAGGAATGGCCAACTCTTATGACAGAGCAGAGTCCTGCAGTGAGACCCCTCTCCGCGGTGGCTGAGAGGAAGTCAGAGCTGCAGTGGGTGAGGCGGGTTTTACCCTGGGCCCGGGCCCAGGGGCGCAGCGACCGAGGCCCCCGGCCCCGTGCCCTCCAAGCTCCCAGGAACGGCTGGATTTGGTTTCCTGGACGGGGCGCCAGGCCCTGCCACACTTCCTGTCCCTCCTGCCCTCTCTCCTCTTCCCGGGAGCCAGCAGCCTGTCTCCGGGGAAACTCCACACGAGCCCCAGTTGTCTCTGCCGTCCCGGCCCCGAGCCTGTCCCGATGCCGCAGGGAGCAGGCGGAGGGCTGGGACGGGCCAGCCGGACGGAGCGGCGGAGGCCCTGGCCGGAAGCTGCCTCACCCCCAGGAGAGCGCGGGGCGGGACTGCGAGGAGGGCCGCCGGCCCTGCGAGGACCTGTCCCAGACTTCTCGGCTTGGAACTGACCGCCTGGGGGGTGGGGAGCCCTCGGGGCCTCATGCTTCGTGCAGCTGAGCACCCGCTGCTTCTCCGAGACGTGAAAGCGAGCTGTTGGCGGTGCCTGTGTCCCTGGAGCGCGGCTCCCACGGGGCCGCCCGTCCCAGTGCCGGGGCCTCCTGAGCCCTCCCTGGCGGGCGGCAGCGACGGGCACTGCTCCCATGGAAGGTGCAGGTGGAACTGGGAAGCCGGGCGTGGGGACAGTCACAGCCGGAGACCCCGGGCCTTCGTGTGCCCTGCCACACCCGGGCCAGCTGCAGCACCCCTCAGGCTGGAGACTCCGTAAAGGGCCCCCCCCACCCCCCCGTTTGCCGCTGTGACTGACGGTTCCTCCTCGCAGGAGCCGAGGTTCTGTGAACAATAAAGCGCAGGGGGCCGAGGTCTGGTCTGGTCTCCTGCTCCGTGTGGCCGCCCAGGGCTCCGAGAGGGGCCTGGCAGAGGCCCCGGTGCCTCACACTCACCCGGGGCTCAGAGCCGGGGGCTCACCCGGGGGCTCAGAGCCGGGGGCCACCCAGGCTGGGCTCACCCGGGGGCTCACCCAGGGGGTGGGCCCAGTCGCTGCTGGTGGGCAGCACCTTCGCGGCCGGGCCTCTGGCGTCGGGCCTGGCTTTTCCCAGGTGCTCGCTTTGGCCAGGTGCCTTGACTTCCTTGTCCGCGTGGGAACAAGGCAACAATAGAGCCACTCACGCCAGCACCTGTGCAGCGGCTGGGGCGGGACTTAAGGAGCCTGGAGCCGCGCCGGCCGAGGATCCCACACAGGCTCTGAGGAGGCCGCCTGGGCAGCAGGAGCGGGAGGAGAGGCCTCGCTGGCGGCAGCAGGCGGGCCGGTCCTCCCTCCCTTTTGTCCCTCACACACTCCTGTCCCCCCACCCCCCGTGTCCCCAGAGGCTGACGGGGGGAGCCGCCACCTCGGGGCCCTGGGAGCTCTGACCCTGTCCGGGCAGCGCCCTCCGCACTCTCCGGCCCTCGTCCCTCCCGGCCTGCGCGGGCCACAGCTCCAGGTTCCACACTTTGTAAACAGCCCACCCCTTGTTTTCAGATGATAGAAGAGCATTTGGCCCAGCCAGTGTGGCTCAGTGATTGGGCGTCCGCCTGGGAACCAGGAGGTCACGATTCGATTCCCGGTCAGGGCACAGGCCCAGGTTGCAGCCTCCATCCCAGTGTGGGGCCTGCAGGAGGCAGCTGGTCCGTGATTCTCATCATTGATGTTTCTCCCTCCCTCTCCCTTCCTCTCTGAGATCAGTGACTTTTTTTTTTTATTAAATAGATTTTATTGATTTTTTACAGAGAGGAAGGGAGAGGGATAGAGTTAGAAACATCAATGAGAGAGAAACATTGACCAGCTGCCTCCTGCACACCCCCCATTTGGGATGTGCCCGCAACCAATGCACATGCCCCTGACCGGAATCGAACCCGGGACCCCTCAGTCCGCAGACTGACGCTCCACCACTGAGCCAAACCAGCTTCGGCAAATGAGTCTCTCTCTTGATATTTCCGTCTTTCCCGCTCTCTCCCCCTCACCCTAAAAACCAACGGAAAATACCCGCGGATGAGGGTTAGTGAACCAGTAAGCAGCTCATGTCTGAGGTTACGCAGTGCGGCTCCTGCCTGCTGTGGGGCCGGGCTGGGGCACGGGAGAGCATCCCAAAGCCCGGCGCTCTCAGCAGTGGCTCCGGCCCGGCAGCGCCAGCCACACTGTCACGCGGACGCAGATGGCCTGGGGCCTGCCGTCCCCGTCGGAGCCGAGACCCTGGGGACCGTCACGCTCTCCCACGTTCCCTCGTGAAGCCCGGGAGCGGACCCGTCAGCCTTGGTGACGGGAAGGGCTTTCCTGGGACCTGGGGCTGAAGACTGAGCAGCTTGAGGTTTGTAAGCGTTTCCACCAGCTGTTAGCAGACCCAGCCACCCGGCCTTCCCGCCATTCCCCTCCCCTGGGGCCCGACAGCAGACGGCCTTTCACCCCGATCTGCCTTCACCCACGCCCACGGCAGAGCAGAGGGAGGGGAGAGGGGGGAGAGGGACCCCAGCGGAGCAGCCAACCCCAGGAGAGCCCCGGGTCACGTGGTTTCTGGGAATCGAAACTCCTGGGTGTGGGAGCGCTGCTCCGCGGCGGGGCAGAGGCCGTCTCGGAGGCCCTGCAGCCGGACCCAGGCCACCGGCGCCGCTCAGGCCGTGCGGCGCCTTCGAGCCCAGGTGGGTGCTCCCCGCCCCCAGCCCAGGGTCACCGCCTGCTCCCGGTCCCCCGGCGGGGGTCGCCGCCCGGACACGCCGGCTCGGAGGCGGCCTCACCATCCCTGACCCGCACACAAGCCCTCTCGCCAATTTGCACAGAGGCCGGAGGCCTGTCCCCGCTCCTGGCTGCCCAGGGCCTCTGTCCCCCTGGCCGGCTGGGATGTCCGCGCCCCCCATGCGCCCCCCCAGCCTGCTCTCGCTCCCCCCAGGGTCACGGAATGTTCCGTCTGCAGGACCTCCAGCCACTCATGCAGGGCCTGGGCCTCTCTCTGCCCGGCCCCGCGCCCCGCCCCGCCCCACCCTGCCCCGCCTGGCCCTCCCCACCCGCCCCGGCCCCCCAGGGCCTGCTTTCTGAGATGAGCCGTTTCCGATCCTTGCCCAGAGACGCAGCCCCCTTCATCCAGCAGGTCCTGCAGGTCCTTGGAGCACGTTTTTCAGAAGGGGCCAGGGACCCCTGGGGCGCCAGCACCCGCCCTGCTCTGCGTAGGGTCCCCAAGGCGCCCTCTGCCCTCCCCTCAGTGAGGGCCGGAGGGCTGTGCCTGCTCCGGGCAGGCTCACTGCTGCCTCACTCCGCCTCCTTCTGCTGCAGGGCGCGGCCCCGGCCACCATGGCCCTCCCCCAGCTCCTCTGCCTGTGGCTGCTGGTCGTAGGGACTCAAGGTGAGCTGGGCCCAGCACCCGCCGGTGTCTCCCTGGCTGGGCTGGCTTAGTCCCTGCAGGCGGCCAGGCAGCGCTTCACCGGTGCTGGTCACTAGGTCAGCTCAGGTCAGGGATCAGCTCAGGTCATGGGTCAGCTCAAGTCAGGGATCAGCTCAGGTCAGGGATCAGCTCAGGCCATGGATCAGCTCAGGTCACAGGGTCAGCTCAGGTCACAGGTCAGCTCAGGTCACAGGTCAGCTCAGGTCACAGGGTCAGCTCAGGTCAGGGATCAGCTCAGGTCACAGGTCAGCTCAGGTCACAGGGTCAGCTCAGGTCAGGGATCAGCTCAGGCCATGGGTCAGCTCAGTTCACAGGGTCAGCTCAGGCCATGGGTCAGCTCAGTTCACAGGGTCAGCTCAGGTCACAGGTCAGCTCAGGCCATGGGTCAGTTCAGGTCACAGGGTCAGCTCAGGTCACAGGGTCAGCTCAGGTCACAGGTCAGCTCAGGTCAGGGATCAGCTCAGGTCACAGGTCAGCTCAGGTCACAGGTCAGCTCAGGACACCTCTCACTGAGGCCCAAGCTTCACCTTCTGGGGGATACTAAGGAATTCTCCACTCCCTCCAGCTCCCAGGGGAGGGATGGGGGGCAGGGACGGTGGGTGTGCACCCAGCCAGATGGGGGGGTGCAATGACTTGCAGAGTCCCGGCGCCTGCCTCTGGCTCTCTACCCCGAGGCAGGGGCCTGCCTCACTGCGGCCCGCAGAAGCCGGCAGTGCCCTCTGAGAACTGCCCCGGACGCCATCCGCTGCAGCCAGGGCTGAGCCGGGGGGCGCTCTCTGCGCCGGCCTCCGGCCTGTCCCCCCCAGCCCTGCCCGCTGCCCGCTGCCCGCTGACCCGGGTCCCCTCGGAGCCCCGCAGGCGTGAGCGATGGCGACATGCGGCTGGCCAGCGGGGACGCCCCCAACGAGGGCCGCGTGGAGATCTTCTACGGAGGCCGGTGGGGCACCGTGTGCGACAACCTGTGGGACCTGGTGGACGCCGGCGTCGTCTGCCGCGCCCTGGGGTTCGCCAACGCCACCGAGGCCCTGGGCGGGGCCGCCTTTGGGCCAGGTAGGCCCCGCCCCGCCCCACAGCACCCGGCCCTGGGGGGGGGGGTCGCCTGGGACACGGAGGGTATCCCGCTCCGCCCTGTGACCGGGCTCAGAGCCCTCCCCTGGACTGGCCTCTACCCCAAAGGGAAGCTCGGAGCAGGAAGACTCCTAAAGGGGGTGCCCGAGGTTCCAGCACCTCGCTGTCCATGGAGCGGACAGGCCGGAGGAAGGCCAGCTGGAGGCGCAGAGGGAAGGGGAGCGCCCTCCAGCGCCCGCCCTCTCCGTCCACAGGGACCGGCCCCGTCATGCTGGACGAGGTGCAGTGCTCGGGGACCGAGCCCTCGCTGGCCAACTGCTCGTCCCTGGGCTGGATGCAGAGCAAGTGCCAGCACAGCAAGGACGCCGGCGTCATCTGCAGCAACGGTGCGCGCTCCCCCGCAAAGCCTGGGCCCCCGGGGCTCCCCCCCTGACCCCCAAAGCCTGGGCCCCCGGGGCTCCCCCCCCCGACTCCCAAAGCCTGGGCCCCCGGGGCTCCCCCCCCGACCCCCAAAGCCTGGGCCCCCGGGGCCCCCCCCCCGACCCCCAAAGCCTGGGCCCCCGGGGCTCCCCCCCCCGACCCCCAAAGCCTGGGCCCCTGGGGCTCCCCCCAACCCCCAAAGCCTGGGCCCCCGGGGCTCCCCCCCCCCACCCCCAAAGCCTGGGCCCCCGGGGCTCCCCCCCCCCCGACTCCCAAAGCCTGGGCCCCCGGGGCTCCCCCCCCGACCCCCAAAGCCTGGGCCCCCGGGGCTCCCCCCCCGACCCCCAAAGCCTGGGCCCCCGGGGCTCCCCCCCCCGACCCCCAAAGCCTGGGCCCCTGGGGCTCCCCCCAACCCCCAAAGCCTGGGCCCCCGGGGCTCCCCCCCCCCGACCCCCAAAGCCTGGGCCCCCGGGGCTCCCCCCCCCCGACCCCCAAAGCCTGGGCCCCTGGGGCTCCCCCCAACCCCCAAAGCCTGGGCCCCCGGGGCTCCCCCCCCGACCCCCAAAGCCTGGGCCCCTGGGGCTCCCCCCAACCCCCAAAGCCTGGGCCCCCGGGGCTCCCCCCAACCCCCAAAGCCTGGGCCCCCGGGGCTCCCCCCCTCGACCCCCAAAGCCTGGGCCCCCGGGGCTCCCCCCCTCGACCCCCAAAGCCTGGGCCCCTGGGGCTCCCCCCAACCCCCAAAGCCTGGGCCCCCGGGGCTCCCCGCCCCCCAGCATCCCGCCCGGGGCCCAGGAGCCAGTCAGGCAGCTCCCTGCCCCGCCCAGCACCCGGCCTCCAAGCTCACACACACCTGGGGGCGGGCTGGAGGGAGCTCACGCTCCAGGAGGCGGGCCACCTGCAGAGCCCGCACGTGAGCCCGGCCTGCAGTCCCGGGTCGGCCCCGCGCCCAGGGGCTGAGCGCAGGCCTCGCTCTTTAAGCGCCAGTGGTTCATTCCTGCGGCCCCAACGCAGCCTCACCCGGGCCCCGGCCGCCCGGCCACAGCTGCCCGTCCTGGGGCTGAGGGTCCGCCTGGGGCTGAGGGTCCGCCTGGGACTGAGGGGCCTGGGGCTGAGGGTCCGCCTGGGGCTGAGGGTCCGTCCTGGGGCTGAGGGTCCGCCTGGGGCTAAGGGGCCTGGGGCTGAGGGTCCGTCTGGGGCTGAAGGGCCTGGGGCTGAGGGGCCTGGGGCTGAGGGTCCGTCTGGGGCTGAGGGGCCTGGGGGTTTTTCTTTCTTTTTGAGAGAGAAAGAAGGGAGAGAGAGAGAGAAACATCGGTTGCCTCCCGTACCACCCCATCCTGACCAGGGATCAAACCCTCCACCCTTCAGTACACAGTAGGGTGCTCCAACCACTGAGCATACCAGCCAGGGCTGGGGCATCTTTTTTTTTTTTTTTAATTATTTTTATTTTTTTATTTTAGGAAGGGAGAGGTAAAGAGAGAGAAACATCATGATGAGAGAGAATCATTGATTGGCTGTCTCCTGTGTGCCCTCCTCCCGCCCTGGGGATTGAGCCAGGCTGGGGCGGGTGCAGGGGAGCACCAGGCAGGGCCAGGGTGCAGGGGAGCACCAGGCTGGGGCAGGTGCAGGGGAGCACCAGGCAGGGCCAGGGTGCAGGGGAGCACCAGGCGGGGGCAGGTGCAGGGGAGCACCAGGCAGGGCCAGGGTGCGGGGCAGGAAGCACCTACAGTGGCCCCCGTGCGCGTGGAGCACACAGGGCGCTCCGAGAGGCGGGTGGGTGCCGGGACAGACTGAAGCCTACCGGCGAAGGAAGAGCAGGTGGAGTTACTTCCCGTGATGCCTGAGGGGTGGGTCGCATGCCTGCAGCCCCCCCGGGCCTGAAGGAGGCTCCGAGGCCCCGAGGCCTCTGCTGGGGGCTGTCACAGGAGGCGTGGGGCCAGAAGGTAACATCTGGGCGATGTGGTGATCCATCCACCGATCGATCGGTTGGAGTTTAAAGGACAGGCCTCGCTGTAGAAGCAGCCCCTTGGGTCCGCCCCCGGAGGGGCTGCCTGGTGAGGCTGGGAGGACGGGGCTGCTGTGGGCGGCCGCACCCTGACTCCGGGCAGACGTCCATGGCCCAGGAGCCGTATTGAGTGGGGGGCGGGGGCAGAGGCCGCAGTTTAAGGGGGACCTGACTCCGGGAGAAGTACTCCGGGTCACGGAGCTGGCTGAGCCTCCCAGCGAGCGGTGCCTCCCTGCCCGTCCCAGAGACCGGAGGCGCCCACACGCTGGACCTGTCGGCGGCGCTGCCCGCGGCCCTGGCGCAGATCTTCGACGGCCAGCGCGGCTGCGACCTGACCGTGGCCGTGAAGGCGGAGGGCGCCGAGCCGCTGAGCCTGTGCGCCCACAGCCTCATCCTGGCCAGCAACCCCGAGGCCCAGGCCCTGTGGGCGGAGCCGGGCAGCTCGGTCACCATGGAGGTGGACGCTGAGTGCCTGCCCGTGGTCATGGACTTCATCAGGTGGGTGTCCCGGGCGGCTGGGCACACGCACACGCACACACCACACACTACACACATACCTCACACATACTATACACATACCACGCACACACGCGCACACACAGACGCACACACACTATACACATACCACACGCACACACCACACACTATACACATATCATGTTCACACACACACACACACACACACACGCACACCACACACCACCACCACCACCTCTCCCTCCCTCTCCCCCCCCCCCTCTCTCTCCCTCCCTCTCTCCCTCTCTGGCAAGGCCTGCTGGTAGTGCTCACATGCCACCACCAGGGGGCCCCGAGGGGCTGTTGGGGCCGTGGCTGAGAATCCTAGGAAAGCTGCCTCTCCCTCTCCCCTTGGGCCTTGGGGAACCAGCCGATTCCAGCGGCGGCCCTGGCCCTGGCCCTGGCGGTGGTTTCCAGGCCTCGGGCAGCGCTGGGGGCGGGCTCTCGGCCTGTCTCTGCTTCCCCCGGCAGAGCTGCCGTCCTTCCTGGCTCTCCATGGGGCCAGCCCACAGCACCCCCGTCCGCTGCTGACACCTGTCAGTTACCGGCCCCTCGCCAGTGCCCGCGGTTTCTCAGGTCACTGACACCCACTGCTTTCAGGGTGCTGGCTGGGCCCCGGGTGGGGGCGGGGGCTCGGTGCGGTGAAAGCGGTCAGGCCCAGGGCGGCCGCCAGCAGGACGGTGGCCCCGAGGGTGGCGATGGAAGAGGGAGACAGGAGGTGGGGGCCTCTCCTAGCTGATCAGGCCTGGTCCGCCCCAGTGCCAGGCCCAGGCTCTGAGCAGACTCCGTGGGATGGGGGCTGGCCTGGGACAAACCGGGGGAGGATGGGGGCACGCGGGGTCAGCGGGTCAGTGGCAGACGCGGAAGAGAGGTGGTGGCTGCCCCGGGCCCCCCGCCGTCGTACTGCGGGGCGAGGGGCGGCCCAGGGCGGCCCCGGCTCAGCCCCCCGCCCCTCCAGGTACTTCTACTCCCGGCGGATCGACGTGTCCCTGCGCAGCGTGAAGTGCTTCCACCGGCTGGCCTCGGCCTTCGGGGCGCGGCAGCTGCAGGCCTACTGCGCGGGCCTCTTTGTCTTCCTGCTGCCCCAGGACCTGTCCTTCCGGACAGCCCTGGACCTCCACGCCTACGCGCTGGCCACGCGGGACCCCGCGCTGGAGGAGCTGTGCGTGCGGTTCCTGGCCTGGAACTTCGAGGCGCTGACGGCGGCCGAGGCCTGGGCGCACGTGCCCACGGCCCTGCTCCGCGCCCTGCTCTCCCGGGACGAGCTGGCCGTGCCCAGCGAGCTGGCCCTGCTGACGGCCCTGGACGCCTGGAGCCGGGAGCGGGGGGCCGCGCCGGGGGACGCGGAGGGCCTGTTGCGGGAGGTCCGCTTCCCCATGATTTCCCCCGAGGAGCTCTTCCAGCTGCAGGGCAGCCTGGGCCTGTACCGCGGCCACCGGGCGCTGATCCGGGAGCGGACCCTGCAGGCGCTGGAGTTCCACACGGTGCCCCTGCCGCTGCTGGCCCAGCTCCTCGGCCGGAACCTCAGCCAGGAGGCCTACCGGCCCCGGCTCTACACCGCGCCCACCTGGAGCTGGGTGGTGGACAAGAGCGCCCGCGCCCCGGCCCCCGCCCGCCGCGCCCCTTACGCCGCGCACCGCTACCCCTACCGCTACGACTACGGCCCTTACGGCCGCTACTTCCCCACGGCCGCGCCCACGGGGTCCTTCCAGACGCCACCGCACCCCAGCTTCCTCTTCCGGGACAGCCGCGTCTCCTGGACCCTCGTCTACCTGCCCACGGTCCAGGCCTGCTGGGACCACGGGTTCTCCTGCTCCTCCGACGAGGTGCCGGTGCTGGGCCTCTCCCGGTCCGGCTCCTCCGACCCCACCATCGGCTACGCCAACAGGGCCCTGATGCTCTGTGGGGGCCGCTTCGTGGCCGACGTCACGAGCTTCGAGGACGGGAAGGCCCCGGTTCCCGGCGCCCTGGGCGCCAACGGCTCCCGGAGGGCCTCCTTCTTCCCCTGCCCCGAGGGCTCCTTCAGCAGCTTCCGGGGGGTCATCCGCCCCTTCTACCTGACCAACTCCTCGGGGGTGGACTAGCCAGGGCCGCCCTCCCCCAGGGCCGCCCTCCCCCAGGGCCGCCCTCCCCCAGGGCCGCCCTCCCCCAGGGGCCGCCCTCCCCCAGGGCCGCCCTCCCCCAGGGGCGCCCCAGTGGGCGCTGGGCCGGCTCCTTCCTCTCCGCAAGCAGCCACCTCCACCCGGGCCTCCAGGTGTCCCCCTGCTCCCGCCCGCCTCTCTGAGCTGAAAGAAAAGGAAGCGCCAGAAGGTTCAGCAGGGCTCACCCAGCCGAGCATCCCTAGTCCCGCTGCCACTGCCCGCTGGTCGGGAGGCGGAGACGTGGGCCTCTCGGCCTGCCGCCCTCTGGCTCAGTCCCACTCAGCCCCGTCGGTGATTAAAGTGCTCAGCAGGGCCAAAACCGGTTTGGCTCAGTGGTAGAGCGTCGGTCTGCGGACTGAAAGGTCCCAGGTTCGATTCCGGTCAAGGGCATGTACCTTGGTTGCGGGCATATCCCCGGTAGGGGGTGTGCAAGAGGCAGCTGGTCGATGTTTCTCTCTCATCGACGTTTCTAGCTCTCTCTCTCTCCCTTCCTCTCTGTAAAAAATCCATAAAATATATTAAAAAAATAAAATAAAATAAAGTGCTCAGCAGGGGTACGGAGTCCCTTCCTGCGCCTCAGCCGGCTGTTCGGGTGGTCGCATGTGGACACACACTGGCTGGGGTCCTGGGGACCTGGGGCTGCACTGGGGGCTCCGGTGGGGTCCCCGGGCGGAGGGACAGCAGGTCCGGGGACCTTAGCCGTTAACGTGGGTGCACGGGGGTGAGGGACACAGACGCCACATCGGTGGTAAGAGCCTGGAGGTCCGGTTAGGATGGCGGCGCTGGGTCCCTCCCCCACCTCCCTGTCCCCGTGGTTCCTGATCCAGGCAGGCGCAGGGTCCGGCGGGAGCATCTGGCTGGGAGCCAGGCCCCGGGCTGGCCAGGGCCTCGGGGAGCAGCATCTGGGCTGTCTGGCCTCGGGAAGGAGGCGGCTCAAGGCCCGCCCCATGGGAGGGAGGTTCAGGCCGGCAGCCAGGATGGCAACCTGCCTCCCGCCCCCAGAGCCCCCGCCCCCTAGTTCTGGCCCCTGAGCCGCCTGCATAGCCGGCCATTCCTCAGCTGTTTTCCTCGTTCTGGTGGTGGTTGTCCATCCTCACCCCCAAGGTGTGTTTCCATCCACTTTTTTGAGTGAGGGGAGAAACATCGATGGGAGAGAGGCACAGTGATTGGTTGCCTCCCATGCCCACCCCGACCAGACCCGGGATTGAACCTGCAACCCAGACATGTGCCTTGGCCAGGAATCGAACCCGAAACCCTTCAGTGAAGGGGGTGACGCTCTAACCTAGGGGTGTCGAACTCAATCAGAGAAGGGGCCAAAATCTAAAATCCAGCCTAAATCGCGGGCCGAATGGTTTACTGAACAGTCATAAACTGTCATTGTGATGGAAACGCAGCGGAGTGCAGTGATGACAGCGTGGTGCGGGCCACATTGCAAGGCCTGGCGGGACGGATTTGGCCCGCGGGCCTTGTGTTTGACACATGTGCTCTAACCACTGGGCACACCAGCCGGGGCTGCCGTCACAAACGGCCACAAACGGGGCTGGAAACAGCACGGACTGGCCCTCTGCACGGCCCCTGTGGCCCGGCGCTGGCCCGGCTCCCGGGGAAGCCTCCCGGAGCCGAGCAAAACAACGCCCGGCTCAGCAGTGAGGAGCCCGGCCGCCCTGGGCAGTGAGCGGGGGCCCTCCGCCAGGCACACTGCGGTGAGCACGGCGGGTGGGCACTGCGGGTGGGCACTGCGGGTGGGCACTGCGGGTGGGCACAGCGGGTGGGCACTGCGGGTGGGCACAGCGGGTGGGCCTACGGTGGGTGGGCACAGCGGGTGGGCACCGCGGGTGGGCACAGCGGGTGGGCACAGCGGGTGGGCCTACGGTGGGTGGGCACAGCGGGTGGGCACAGCGGGTGGGCCTACGGTGGGTGGGCACAGCGGGTGGGCACCGCGGGTGGGCCTACGGTGGGTGGGCACAGCGGGTGGGCACAGCGGGTGGGCCTACGGTGGGTGGGCACCGCGGGGGGGCACAGCGGGGGGGCCTACGGTGGGTGGGCACAGCGGGTGGGCACAGCGGGTGGGCCTACGGTGGGTGGGCACTGCGGGTGGGCACAGCGCGTGGGCCTACGGTGGGTGAGCACTGCGGGTAGGCGCACTGCGGGTGGGCACCGCGGGTGGGCACCACAGGGTGGGCACTGCGGGTGGGCACTGCGGGTGGGCACCGCGGGTGGGCACAGCGGGTGGACCTACAGTGGGTGGGCACTGCGGGTGGGCACAGCGCGTGGGCACACGGCGGGTGGGCACTGCGGGTGGGCACAGCGGGTGGGCACAGCGGGTGGGCCTACGGTGGGTGGGCACTGCGGGTGGGCACTGAGGGTGGGCAGAGCGCGGCCGTGTCCGGGAGGGAGCTGCTGCCGCCGGCCCGGGCCCTGAGCAGAATCGAACCCTGCCCTCCGGGCCTCAGGCCCACGCTCAGCCCTGACCCCGCCAGCGGAGTTCCTTATCGCTGGTGCGTGGCCTCTGACCTCTGACCTCTGACCCCGCCCACGCTGGCGGTCAGCTGTGCTGCCTCCGGGCGCGGGAGGGGCGGCCTCCCCAAGAACCGCCTGCGGGCAGGGCCTGCGCCAACCATCCCGCGTGCGGTGCGTGCGGTGCGTGCGGTGCGTGCGGTGCGTGCGGTGCGTGCGGTGCGTGCGGTGCGTGCGGTGCGTGCGGTGCGTGCGGAGCCGCTGTGCCGTTAGACCCGCCTCGCCTTCCCAGAGGCCCCACGTCACGCACGCAGACCCCGTGCGGGCGGCGCTGCCCCGTAACACAGCCCGCGGGGCCTCGCACCGCCACCACTGCCGCCGAGGTGAGGCCAGCGCCCAGCGGAGGTCTGGGCGGCCTCCCCCCTCCGTCCCCTCCCCCTCCCCCTCCTGCCCCCTCCCCCTCCCCCTCTCTCCCTCTCACCCTTCCCCTCCCTTCCTCCCCCTCCCCCTCTCTCCCTCTCACCCTTCCCCTCCCTTCCTCCCCCTCCCCCTCTCTCCCTCTCACCCTTCCCCTCCCCTCCTCCCCGCCCCCTCACTCCCTCTCACCCCCTCACTCTCTCACGCCCCTCCCCCGCCCCCCGCCCTCCCTCCTCCCCCGCCCTCCCACCCCCTCCCCGTTCCCCCCGCCCTTCTCTCTTCCCCCCCCCCGCCCTCTCACCCCTCCCCCTCTTTCCCCTCCCCCCCGCACCCTCTCCTCTCACCCTCCCTCCCGCCTCTCACCCCCCTGCCCTCCCGCCTCTCACCCCACCGCCTCTCGGCCCCCCCCCCCTGCCTCTCACCCCGCGCCCCCTCCCGCAGTCCGGTGCCAGACGCCGGGGCGCAGGGCGGCCTTGGCCTTGGCCGCCCCCATCCTGGCACCTGCTCCACGGGCCCGGAGGAGTGCGGAGGGAGGGCCCTGAGGCCTCGGCGGCGGGGAAGCTGGCGGAGGAGGCCGCGGAGGAGCCTCTGAGCCCCCAGGGCCGTAACCGCTACCAGCTGTGCAAGGGGGGGCTGAGAGGCTGGAGGCTGGGGCGGGCCAGGCGGGGACCAGCCCGGAACAACGGGCAGAAACGGAGAGCCCTGGGTTCGAGGCGGTCGGCCCGCCACGCAGCGCGCAGGCGGAAGCCCCACTTTTCCAGCCTTTTCTGAATCCGGGACTGTTAGCCCCTCGTCACGGGCGACAGTGAGGACCAGGGAGGGGGATTCCGTCCGGCCTGTCCCCTGGGAGCCGGGAGCGGCGGGGAGGGCGTGAAAGTCCCTCCCGATCGCGGGCTCGCTCGCTGCTCTGTGCAGCTGGGATGGAGCCCGGCAGCTCTTCCGGTCCCGGGTCTGCCCAGCACCGCACCGGGCACTGCCCGGGCACAGGCCCCCGGCCCACACCTTCTCCCGCGGGAGGCTCCGCTCAGCCCCGGCCTGTCCCCCAGCCGCACAGCCATCCCATAGAGTGGGACGGACGTCAGCCTGGCCACTCAAGGGTCCTAATTCGACGCCGGCCAAGGGCACCCGCCTGGGCGGCAGGCGCGGGCTCTTCAGTTCGCGGGCGACGCTCTGACGCCGAGCCCCCGGCAGGGCCTGCTTCCGAAGCCCACACGGCCGCGTCACAGCTGCCCCCGGCCTGAGGGAGAAGGACCGGGAAGGCCCTCTTTGGTGGGGAGGGAAGCCGGGCACGGGGACCCCTTGGCAGGAACCCAGCAGGAAGCCTCCGGGACTGTTGTGGGCCGGGGGGGAGGGGCCCTGATGGAGGCGAGCCTGGGGTGTGCACGCCCCCGAGTGCTCCGTGCAGGAACCAGGCCCCTCCCGCGAAAGCCCCGCGGACTCAGCCTCTCCTGCTTCCTTTGTTCAAGGTTAGCTCTCCCAAGTCCGCACCCCTCCCGCGCCCGCCCGGGGCTTGGCACCGGCTCTGCTGAGCACGGGGAAGGAGCCTCAGACACAGAGCCGGCCTCTGAGGCCTCCCGGGCGGGCGGAGGGGCCCAGCCTCTCCCGCCCGGAGCCTCCCCGCGCCCGGGGCGAGCCCCCGGCCCTCCCCACCCTGAGAAACGGGCGTGAGGAAAGGTGGCCCCCTCTCCGGAAAGCGGGCTCTGCTCTGGCATCCGGCCTCCGTGGGGTTCGCTTTTCGCTACAAATAAAACCCGGCCCCTCCCCGCCGGGCCTGTGGTTCGGGAGTTGAACATCGACCCGTGAACCAGGAGGTGGTCTCCAGAGCATGTCTGGCCCGGCTCGCCCGGTGCTGCCCCGCGGGCCACCTTCTAATGGATTTCCTTTCACTGAGCGAATCGGTGCACAGGCCACTCGTATACGTGTCGTCGTCTTTTCGAGGTGACCGGACAGGTTCTCAAAGGCCGGGGTGTTCGGGATGGTCTGAGCTAACGGGGAAGCCAGACGAAGTGCAGGGCTGAGGTCCAGCTGCAGGGATCTTGGGGGGAGGGGCACAGGGGGGTTCTGGGTGCTGCGAGGTGCCATGTCTCCTCTGGATGGTGGTCATGCAGGGTCTCCAGTGCGGGATGCATCAAGCTGGACCCTTAAGATCTGTGTCCTTCTCTGTGTATAGTGGTGCTTGAATTTTTTACAAAATGTCTTTCGGTATCTGCCTAGCAGGGGACCCATGATGCTCCTTTCTAAGAAAAAATAATTTTATTGATCTCAGAGAGGAAGGGAGAGGGAGAGATAGAAACATCAATGATGAGAATCATTGATCAGCTGCCTCCTGCACACCCCCCACTGAGGATCAAGCCAGTAACGCAGGCACGTGCCCGCTGGCATGTACCCTGACCGGGAATCTAACCTCAACCTCCTGGTTCAGAGGTCAACACCCACCCGCTGAGCCACCCTGGCCGGGCCCATGGTGTTCCTTGTAAGGGGCGGGTTGAGATAGGCACTCATCCCCCATCCACATCCTTCCTCTCAGCATCCTCCTG